CAGCCAAGGCAGGGGTCTCAGGGCCAGTGCCAGGCTGCCGGGCCTCTGTCAGCCTTGAGGATCAGGGGGCGGGGGGCACTGAGGAAGGAGTGGATGAGGGGGTTTCAGAGCCAAAGGGAGAGAGTTGGGACCCTGTGAGAAAGCGTGCCTAAGTTAGGGCTCTGACGCCATGAGTGAGCTCAGATAAGGCACTCTGCGCCTCAGTTTCTCCGTCTGGTTTACCAGTGGCTGCAGGGGCCACTCTAATAGATGAGGACTGACTGGGGGGCCAGCATAGAGGCCAGGTGGGTGGGGAACCACTGACCAGAACCGAGAGGTCATCCAGCTTGAAGATGTCATCAGGGACTCCGGAATTCTTCAGGCTGTTGGCTCGAGCCACGATGGCCTGGGGAGAAACCATGAGAGTCCATGATTTCCAGCTTCTACCCCCAGGAACCAGCAGAGATCAGGGAAGGACAGCGCCTTGGGAAACCCACCAGGGGCCCAAGTGCTGTCCTAGCCTGGCCTTTGCTCACAGTCCCTTCACCTGGTGAGCTCTTCCTGGCCTCCTGATGAGCTCCTATTCACACCTCAAAGCCCAGCTCATATGTGCCCCAGAGCCCAGCACGGGGTCCTCAGGGAACGCGAGGAAGAGCGTCCCCATTGCAGAGGGCAAGATAAGGGGGGAGCTCTGAGGTAGAGTTTCCAGGACAGAGAGAGAGGGCTGAACCAGAGCAAACTCAGAGTGAGGACCGAGAGCAAGTCTGTTTTCTATCCTCTCAGGGCTGAAACCTCAGCAGGTCTGAGGAGGAGAGAGGACATGACTACGAGCACCAACAGGGCTGCTGCCACCTTTCCTTCAGCCCTAGTGTCTGTGCAGGGCCACGCTGTGGCTTCGTAGCTGTCACCCGCTGAACCCTCCCCGGAACGCGGAAGGGACTTGTCCAAGGTCGTGCAGCCAGGAAGTGGTGGGGCCCAGATCTGAACTCAGGCCGCCCAGGTCCAGATGCTGTGCTCTTAATATCTGGCCTTGGATGGGAACAACCGTCACTGAGGCCCGAAGGGTCTAGCCAGGGGCCTGAAGTTCTGGGATGTCAGAGGCTCCGTGGAGAGCAGAGGGGCGACAGGACCACCCTGACCACCTTTCTTCAGGGCCAAACCCATTTTCCCACTGCCTGGCCACGTTGACTTCAGCCTCAGGCGAGGGACCGTGGGCAAGTGACTTGGCTCTCTGTGTGTTCGTTCATCTGTGAACTTGGTGAGGGTCAGGATTATATGGAAAAATCCACGAGGAAGAGTTGGAACAGTGCTTGGCTGGTATCAGGTATTTTTATGGTACTTGTCTAAAAATGGGTGGGAGTTTGGGTTTTTTATTTTTTCTCCCCATGTGGTACTGCCTGCAGGGCATTATGGTAACCCTTTGCCTTTAGGAACAGGTCTCTGAGTCTGACACGGGACAGGCAGTGGTGCTGGTCCCCCTGGGGGCTGGCCCTGCCCTCAGTGCACTGGCTGGGCTCCGGCCCCCACCCCCGAGCTCCACGGCCTGTAGCAGCACTCACCCGCAGGGACGGCAGGCTGGACAGCTCCCCGTGAAGCGTGGTCAGGTTGTTGTGGCTCACGGACAAGTGTTCCTGGGCCAGAACAAGGCAGCAGAGGCTCAGCAGTGTGGGTAGGGCGCCTACAGAGTCCCCATCCGCCACCAAAACCTTGCACCATCCAGGGGGCCCTCAGCCACACAGGCTCAGGCCACCTCTTGCAGCCTCCCTCCCTCACACAGCCCATCTTTACTTGCACACCTCCTGGGACAGGGTGCTCACTCCCTCCCTGCCGGCTCTGTTCGTGGCTGTCAGCATCTTCCATTCTGCACCGGCTCTGCCTGCCTGGCCCAGCCCCATCCACAGGGACCCTTGGTCACTGCCCAAAGCCCCTTACCAGCTTCTGCAGGGCGGCCAACTCCTCCGGCAGGTAGCAGAGGCCCGTGCGGTTCAGCTTCAGCCAGCGCAGACTGGTCATGGCCTTGACATTCTCAGGGAAGTAGCCGCCCTGGGCGGGGGGCGGGGGGGGGGGGGGGGGTCATGGTGAGACTCGTCTGGGCCAGGGGTGCCCCCTGCTCTACCACCCTCGGTGGCCCCCCACGCCCATGGGAGCCTTTGGAGAGCAACGGAGACACCTCTCACCAGCTGTGCAATCCTGGACAGGTCACCTCACCACTCTGTGCCTCAAGTTCTCAATGGAACAGGACGTTTAAAAGGCCCCCGTGACAAAAGGACAGACTAATAATCACGGTGGCTGTTGGCCTAAAATCTCTTGTTGGATTCTGAGCCCTGAGCAGGCCACGATGGAACTGGCTTGTCCCCAGTGCAGTTAGCTCGGCTCAAATTCCTCTGCCCGCCATTCCAGGCCCTCGCTAGGCTGCCAGAGATGGGGGTACCCCTGAGCCTCCACCAATGCCCCCGCCTATGCCCCCACCCGGCCATCAGCATACAAGCCATTCTTGGCAAGGTCCAACCCCCTGTGTAAGGCCCCAGGTCCCCATCCGCAGAGGCACAGCCTTGTTCCTGCCTTCGGGAACACTTTAGGGCAGGCAGTCTGAGGCAGCATGTGCCTTCAGGGCCCCTGGCTGGTGTCCCCGGCCCCCTACAGCCCCATTCCCGGCTGGTGACTCAGACTCTCCTAGTCTGGGGAGATCAATGAGACCCCAGGTGAGGATGGTGGCAGAGGAAAGTGGTGTGTGCACATGTGGGTAAATGCAGCAAGGCCCCGCTCGCCTCCTCAGCAGTGGCCCAACCCAACCCCAGGGGAAGCCCGGGCCCCCCCACCCCCTGCAGACCCAGGCTGACACAACACTCACCCCAGCCTGAGTCCACTCACTCACCCGCCCTGCCACCCAGGGTGACCCTCCCTGTGCTGGGCCAGCTCTCATTTCCACTCCTGACCAGCCTCCTCTGGTCACCAGTACTGCCCACCTCATTCCTGAGCCTCTAGAACCGCCTCCCCGACCAGGGGCTGGAAGGCGGGGCTCCAGCTCCCTTTGGCTCTAGTCTATCAGTCCTCACCGCCCCCACCCGAGGCCTCACACCTGCCTGAGTGTCTCCACACCAACTAATCCACCGCCCCAAGACGGCTACTTGATTGCCCCTTCGCCGGATGAGAAAACCCAGGCTCTGAGAGGGGAAGTGACTTGCCCAAGACCACACAGGATGGGGTGGCGGTGGCAGGGACAGGGCAGTGATCAGTGTGCTCGGGACCCGCCCCCGACAGCCCGGTAGCAAAGCCGGCCATTAGTCAGGGCCTGGCTTGGGCGTGTGACCTCAGAGGGGCGGGGACCGAGGGCCGGAGAGGCGGCAGCAGGAGCTCACAGACCCCCAGGCCCCTCTCCGGCCCGGGCGGGGCCCAGACCCCCGGACTGGAACACGGGGTGGGGGCCCCCGGCCCAGCCCACACTTCCTGGCGTGACTCGGCGTTCCAGTGTCCGCCCGGCCCCGGCCAGTCCTGGGCCTCCCGTGCGGGCCCTGAGCGGAGGCACCGGGGGTCCGTTCCGGGCGGGGTCGCGAGCGCCGGGGGGAGCCCCACCCTGCGTCATCCGCGCGGTCCCGGGCAGCACAGGGCCCGGGGGCGGGCGGGACAGGAAGCGGAGACCGGCGCGGGCCCGAGCGGAAGAGACGGCCTGGAGGGAGGTCGGCCCCACGCCCGGCCGGCTCACCTTGAAGTCGTTGCCGCTGAGGTCCACACCGCGCACGAACGGCAGCACCCCGGTGGCCTCCATGGCGCCGCTCTCGCTGCCGGGCCGGGCCGGGCGCAGGGGGCGGCGGGGCGAGCCGCGGGCTGGGCCAACTCCGGCCCCGCCCCTTTAACCCGCCCCCGCCCGGGCCGGCGGGCAGGCGGAGCCCGGGCCGCGCCCCTAGCCAGCCCGCCCACCCGCTCGCCGCGAGGAGGCGCCGGGACCGTCGGGCGCTTTGGGACTCCCTGGGCCTCAGTTTCCCCGTCTGTTCGCTGACCGGAGGGGCCTCGAAAAGTCCGAGCCCCCCCGTGCTTCCGAAGCCTTCGTAGGCTCAGTTCCAGCGACCTATGGGGGGGTGTGTATCACAGACCCTGCAGGTCCAAGCACTGTCCCCTGGACTGCTGCAGCAATGGCCATGACCTCTGGAGAGATTATGGACCGAGGCCTGGGGGCACACGGACCCGGGAGTCTCTATCCCCTCACTGGGCGCTGCATGGCGACCAATGGTAGCAGGATGCCTGGGTCCTTGGGTCCTGGGGCTCTGGGAAAACCCCAGGTCTGCTCCTGGCCTCAGTTTCCTCATTTGTGAAATGCTTCCTAAGGTTGTGGCCAAAAACAAACGCAAGTGTAAGTCGCAGCATACAGCAGGCGCTCAATAAGTGGCACGTTATTATTATTCCCGCTTAAAGTCAACATCCACCCTTGTCTCTGCTTATTTCCTTGCTCCTCCACCAGCCGGCATATAGTAGGTCCCCAGTAAATAAATGCCGAGTGAGCCACAGATTATATGCACAATCATCCTTCGTAGGGGAGGAGGGGGCCTTGTGATACCCATTTCATAGGAGAGAAAACTGAGGCCAGAATGGAGAAGTGGCCCGAAACGGTCACACGGAGCAGGTGGTAGGGGTGACCTCCTGAGTCACGCTGTGTGCCCGGCGTGCCAACAGATAAAATAACGAAGCCCCCCACCCGCTCGGCACACTCAGGGTGACGTAAAAAGTCAGGCAAGCGGGCCTTCGGGCCAGGTACCACCTGTTTGCCAGGTCCCGGAAACAATGTAAGCCCAGGCAGCTTTCTCTACACCGCCGCCTCACACGCAAGCACACACGCCTTCACAACCGGCCCTAGGGACCCGCTTCTGAACCCGGTCACCGCCCCGACACCGGCCGGAATGCAGCCCTGCGCCTTTAAATCTGGAGTGCGTCCTAGAGTCCCGCCCCTGAGGGACCGGGTTGCCGACGAGGGGGCGTGGCCTGCTCGTCATTGGCTGAGCCCCTCAGTATTTTGGAACGTGGGCGCGGCCTCGGGGGCTCCGATTGGAGCTTGTCTGCGTGCGTCGGGGGTCAGCGGCCACCCCCGGGGCCTCGGTGTTCGGTTCCCGGGTCCTCCGAGTTCCATTGCCAGGCGGGTCTGGGCTCGGGGGCCCAAGCAGACCCGCCGTGTCCTCCGGTCGCTGTGCTGAAGCCGCGACGCACGTACAGCCGGAGTGTGGCTGGGCGGCCCTGGTCACCCAGGCCCGGGCGTGGAGCGTGCGTCGGACGCAGGTCGGGGGCGTGGTCTCCGCCGGGGCCCGCGGTCAAGGCCCGGGAAGGAGGGAAGGGCTTTGGGCCCCAGGCTGGAGTTCGAATGTCTAGCCTGCCGCTTCACGTCTTGGGCGCATCACTGCATTTCTCGGGGCCGGGGTGCCCTCCCCGTGAACCGGGCCCTCACAGGCCCACCAGGGGTTGCTGCGCAGCCCGCTCAGCCCCGGCCGCGGGCAGCAGGTGTGGCGGAGGAGGGGAAGGACGGGAGGCATCTCAGGGCGCTGAGTCGGGTTATTTTTAACCACCCGCGCCCTCTCGCCCTTCCCCGAGTTGGAAGGCTTCGGTTTGGGGCCTGTGCGACCCCGCCAGGGGTTGGGCTGAGTCCAGTTTAGGCAGGAGGTTATTTAAAGTGCTTTACAGTTTGCAAGTGGATTCTTGGTCCCGCCGGAGATGGCTGGCAGTATTGATCAGCGCTGAGGAAACTAAAAGTGGCTGCGGGGCCTTGGTGGGTCGCCCCCCCCCCCCCCCCCCCCCCCGCCTCCTAGCCTTTGACCAACCCAGGCCCCAGAGTCGTCTTGTCCTATTTTTAGTCTGGGCAAATTGGGAGCGGGGGTTGGGGCTGACTCCCGCGGTGATTCAGGCTTCAACTGCTCTAGGCATCTTGTCACCTGGCAACTGAGCCCTGGGCACCCACAGCAGAGCAGAGAGGGCACAAGTCCTTGGTGCCTGAGCTAGTCTGAGCCCGTGGTCATCTGTTCAGGTCATCTGCTCAGGCATCCGCAGACGACAGTTCTGCCTAGTATCTGACTGGTTCCCTGAGTTTGCATCTGGGAGAGAGAGAGAGAGAGAGAGAGAGACACACACACACACACACACCCCTAAGCTCTCAGGGCCTGAGGCTAGAACCTGAACCTGGAGCTTGGTGGCCTGGGCCTGGGAAAGATCTCTGCCTCTCCAAGCGCCCAGCCGTACCCAGCCTTACAGTTCTGGGCTCCCCACTTGTAAACCCGTCTTCTCCACAGCTGTGCCATTTTACAGGTGAACAAACAGCTTCGGGCCCTCACCCCTTCTCTGTTGCTTGGGCTTCCAGTCTCTGAGGACACCTGCTCCCCTATCCCCACTGCCCCTGCCATTGTCTCAAACCTGAGGGACCCAGAGAGGCCCCTGTCCAGAGGCACTGGGCCAGTTCTCTGGGGAGCGGGGGGGAGGGTCCTTTATTATTTATTTTTAAATAATCTCTACACTGAATGTGGGGCTGGAACTCACAACCCCGAGATCAAGAGTCGCATGCTCCACCGACTGAGCCAGCCACACACCCCTTTTGGGGTCTTTAGAGTTACCTTGCTTGCTGCCCCCACAGCCAGGCTTTCAGCCTTGACTGACGTTTGCCTCCTTGGGAGGCCTGGGCCACCTCGCTCATCCTGTCTTTTGACGTGATTGCTTTCCCTCGGGGGGGCTACGCTGTTGAGCTCTGGGGGGGAATTGTGGCCCCCTGAGCTTCACTGAAGTCCTCTCAAAGGCCTGAGGGGCCCTCCAGGGCAGGCTGTGTCTTCTTTAGGCCTTGGCTTCCTCCTGGCCATGCCCAGCCCTGGTTAGGAAGCAGGATGAAGCAGCCTTAAGGAGCTGGCTGCAGGCCCCCGGAGACTGATTGGACTCTGGGAGTGGGCCAGAGTCAGGACGCTTTGCACTCATGGGTCTGGGTCCCTAAAATGGGGGTAGCAACAATAAGACTCACCTCACGGTCTTAGGGGATGTCCGGGGTCCTTGAGGGTGGGATGGAGAAGATGGGCCTCCTTTTCTGACCTGCCACAAGTCTCAGGGCCTTTCTACAGGAGTACAGGAGCTCCCCTGTCTAGGGCATGGGTGAGCTGTTTGCAGGTTTGGGGGAGGGGGCTTGGGCAGCTCCCCATCTCCTCTCAAGAAACCCCTTCTCCTGAGAAATTCCCAGGAACGCCCCTCACGGGCTCTACTCGTGGCAGCCCCAGCCTGATGGGGTCTGCCCCACTGGGCAGCCTGGCCGCCCCCACAGACCTGTCTCTACCCATGGGCTCCTTTTTTCTTTTTTTTAAGATTTTATTTTATTTATTTGACAGAGAGAGACAGTGAGAGGGAACACAAGCAAGGGGAGTGGTTGAGGGAGAAGCAGGCTTCCGCAGAGCAGGGAGCCCGATGCGGGGCTTGATCCCAGGACCCTGGGATCATGACCCGAGCCAAAGGCAGTCGCTTAACGACTGAGCCACCCAGGCCCCCCGCCCCCCCATGGGCTCTCTTACAGGCAGACGGACCATGGCAGAGTTCTCCCAGAAGCGGGGGAAGCAGCGTGATGAGGTGCTGGGCGGCACTGTGGACTTCCTCCTGGCCAATGCCCGCCTCGTGCTGGGCGTGGGCGGGGCCGCCGTGCTGGGGATTGCTACCCTGGCTGTGAAGCGGGTAAGGCCAGGCTGAGCCGCTTACACCTGGGGCTCCCAGAGGAGGACAGCAGGGCTGGGCCTGCTGCCGGGGGCAGGGGTACTGCCCAAGGTGGGCACCGGCTTCTCTACCCCAGCAACCTGCTTGGTGTTGTCCCTGCCTTTGGCATGGCCACCCAGGCCTCACATGCTCTGATCTGTGTCGCTGTGCCTGCAGCTCATCGACAGGGCCACCAGCCCTCAAGATGAGGAGGATGCCAAGGGGGACAGCACATGCCTGGAGGAGAGCTGGAAGGAACTGAGTCTCCTCAAGGCCACGCCACGTCAACAGCCCCGGACCCCACCTGCTGTGCTCAGCCAGCCCCTGTCACTCCCCGGCCCCTCGCCGGCTTCCCCAGGTGAGTGGCACCCCTTCCCCTCTGACCTGGGTGGGTCCCCCTCTGCTGGTCCCATTTGGGAGCTGGAACCCAGGCTCTACGTTGACTGACTGTGTGACCTAAGCAAGTCCCTGCTCCTCCAAGACGGCGGCCTCCCGGCATGTTCAACAGGGACCTGTTTCTCCGCCCTGCTAACCTCCTGGGTCTGCCAAGGCTCCTGCCTCCGAGACATGGACTTGGAGGGGGGTCCCAGAGCGTGGCAGCAGTGTTATGGCGGTGAGGGGCCCCGGATGGGGAAACTGGGGCCCAGAACCTGCCTTCCCACTGTACATGAGGCTGTTTGAGGGCACTGGGCATCTGGGGCAATGAGAATTTGTCATCATGTGCTCACTGTATGTGAGAACTTGCGCTAAGCGCTCTCTCAGGTGGTCCTTGCACGGCTGAGAAGAAAGGAGGCCCAGGGTGTCGCGCAGCTTGGGTGGAGTTCTCTTGGCTCCTGACGGGGGTTCTTCTGACATGGTCCCTGACCCGTTCATTCTGCAGAGGGGCCCACAGACACCGGTCCTCAGATGTCGCCGCCACCTAGCTCCCCGGCACCGCTGTGCCTGACGTTCCAGGAGAAGCTGCTGGCGTTCGAGCAGGACCATGTGACCATCCCGGCGGCCCAGGTGGCTCTGGCCAAGCAGCTGGCCGCTGACATCGCCCTCCAGCTGCAGGCCTACTTGCGGAACAAGTTCCCGGAACTGCCCTTCGGGGCGCTGGTGCCCAGCGGGCCGCTCTACGACGGGCTGCAGGCGGGGGCGGCCGACCATGTGCGCCTGCTCGTTCCCCTGGCGCTCGAGGGGGGCCTGTGGGACCTGGTGCCCGGGCTGGACACTGTGGCCAGGGACCCTCGCTGCTGGGCCGTGCGCAGGACTCAGCTGGAGTTCCGTCCCCGCGGGAGCAGCCCCTGGGACCGCTTCCTGGTGGGTGGCTACCTGTCTCCGCGCGTCCCGCTGGAGCTGCTCCGCAAGGCCCTGGTCTCCTCCGTCAACTGGCCAGCCATCGGCGGCCTCCTTGGGTGCCTGATCCAGCCCAGCATGGCCTCGGAGGAGCCGCTGCTCGAGGTGCAGCACGAGTGCCTGGAGCTCACGGTCGTGGTGCTGCTGGCCGTCACGGGCGCCGCCGCCGAAGATCCCGTCCTCCTGGCCTGGCCCCTGGAGGGCCTGGCCGGGAGCCTGTGGCTGCAGGACTGGTACTCCGCGGAGGCCGCCAGGCTGCGGGCCCTGGATGCGCGCGACGCCGGGGCCCGCCGGCGGCTGCTGCGGCTGCTGTGCGGGGTGTGCCGCAGCCACCCGGCCCTGGCGCGGCTGGACCGGTGCCACCTGAGCCAGGTGGTGCTGCGCCTGGGGGAGGCCGAGGCCGACTGGGCTGAGGCGGCCCTGGGGCAGCGCTTCCTGCAGGCCCTGGAGGCGCTCGTCCACAGCCTGGAGCGGGCCAGCCTGCCGTGCCACTTCAACCCCGGCGTGAACCTCTTCAGCGGTCTGCGCGCGGAGGAGATCGATGCGCTGGGCTTCGCGCTGTACCGCGGCCTGCGGGCCCCTGAGCGGCTGCTCTAGCTGGGAGGGGGCGGGGCGGCCGGCGCGGTTCTCACGCGGGGGAGCGGGGAGCGCCCCCCCGCCCCCCGCCCCCTGGTCTTTGGAGAGCACTTTTTCTCTTGCTTTAGCCAGAAGGAAAGAGGGCGCTGCGCTCTGTAAGCCCACGGGGCTAGCATGTACGTGGGCAGCTATCACGGGAGCCCCCCCCATCCCCAGGCCCGGACAGCTCGGAGCGCAGGCCACGCACATGTGCCCCGGCCGCCCCCCGGACCCTGGGCTCGGGACATCGTCACCTGCACTGACCGCGCTGACAGGACACGCCTGCTGCTGTCCTAGGCGGGGGATAAAGGCAGCTCCGTTTTTCTGTCGAGAGGGTGAGTTGGCGCTTTCCTCGGGTGCCAGCTCCAGGCATCTGGAGGCTTCTGGTGCTGGGTGGTAAATACCGTGTGTTTGTTTCATCCCCCAGGGGCCAGAGTCACCCGCTACTCCCCGCACCCCCCTCCCCCCCCCAGGGATTGCAGCTCTGGAGCAGACTTGAAGGCTGCATCCCCCCATGTCACCTGCGTGTCTAGTTGGCTTGTCAAGCTCTCCCCTCAAGCCTGGAGCAGGAGTTCAGTGTGGCCTGCTGCCCACCTCAGAGCTCAGAAGGCCCCTTTCTGTCCACCTGTGCCATTTTCCCTTCGGGATGCAGAGTCCCCTGCGCTGCCCACCTTGCCTGGAGCCAAGGATGCCCCACTAGCTGCTGCTGGGCCCGGAGAGCAGAGGCCGTTCCCCCCGCCCCCCCGGCCGGCAGAGCAGGCCTGGCCTCCACAGAGCCACTGTGATCTCCCCGCGGCCGCCTGAGTTCTCACTGAAGCCAGCCCCGGTGGGGAGGGGGTTCTGCCTCACCTCCCAGGCATCCCTCCTGGCTTTGGTATCTTTCTTGCTGAAGCAAAGCTGTGCCTCAAAGAACGTGAATAAGAATAAAAGGGAAAACTCAAGACATCTGTGTGATTTGGGCTGGGCTCTTACACAAAGTTCTGGAAGCTTGGCCAGGGGTCTTGGGATCAGCCTGGAGGAGTTAGGGTTTAACTGGAAAAGTAGAGCATGTGGGGAGAATATTACAGGATTCCCAGTGTGATGTTTCACTTTAGTGACGGGAACCGACGAGTGAGGGGCCTCCCCCCCCCACCTCGGGGTCTCAACTGTCAAGCCCCCACCGTGCTTTCTGGGGTGGGTAGGGCTGACCCCGAGCCCCTCGGCCAGCACGTCAGTGTTCAGAGAACTGTGATGTCTCTACCCCCCTTGCCTCCTGGTGGCTCCACAAGTGCGGGACAGCCCCCCTCCCCCCGCCACCCCGGACAGGGAAGTGAGAGCATGTCAGGGTCCCCACAGGAGCCATGGCTGGGGCTCACTTCCTCTGTCACCACAGATGACAAGTGGGGCCTGGGGAGGGCCCTGGGTCATGAGTGTCACTACAGCCGCTGTTGCCAACCCGTTCTATTTCCTGAGGCAACCCTCACGCCTTTGAGCAGTGAGTCCGGGACAAGGGGCAGGATCAGTGTCCTGCCTCGTTTGAGGGCCAGCACCTGGGACCCATGAGCTGCGTATGTGCGCCTCTGGATGCAGGACCGGGGGCTGCCCCTGGAGGTCATGAGGGCTCTGCCTCAGGGGCATTCAGACAGCTGGGTGGCTCCACAGAGAGGCTGTGGTGAGGGTCAGAGGGCGCGGAACTGGCTTAGCCGAGGTTCGTTCGGATCACTTGGCTTGGGGACTGGTGCATGGGGAGCTTTGAGCACCTTGGCTTGGGGACTGGTGCACGGGGAGCTCTGAGCACCTGTCGTGGTGGTGGCCGGGTGTGGGCAAGGGAACGGCCTGGAGGCAGACTAGGCGGGGCCTTGGTGGTGGTGTCAGGAAAATGGGGGATTGTGTAATAGCAACCTCTCAGGCAGCTGAATGGGGTAAATGCGGGTGTACAGTGTTAGCTCAGCGCCTGGCACAAAGGAAACCACCCCTGAGCCCCACTGTGGGCCCCTGCTGCCTGCCCCACTGACCAGCGTCGCTCATGAAGCCCGAGCTTGGCAAGAGGCGCCCGGTGCCAGGCCTGCATCTGTCCAAGGCCCGGCTCCTCGGGACCCCTGCTGAAGGGCTGGCTGGGCACGGCCGGGGGGCAGCAGTCTGGAAGCCAGCTGGGTCCACAGCCCCTCTTCTTAGATGACCAAACCCCAACACGCGGTCCCCTCTGTGGAGGCTGCGTGCTTCAGGTGGCTCCGAAGTTCTCACACCACCATTTCGGTAAGACAAAATCAGGATGAATTAAAAGGGAGAGAAAGGAGGCGCTCCCAGTTACATCATCTACCCAAGGTTAACGTCTGGGACTCCAGTTTCTAGCCAGAGAATTGGAAACAAATCATTATTTTGCTAGGAGGCTTTTCGGGGCCTTGTGTGCTGGGCTGGCCCATTCAGCGCCCAGAGTAGCTGCTCTTCAGTTTCATTTGCCCCTTTAATGCAAGGACAGTTCCAAGTCACTTGTATCAGCCCCGGGGCCTAAATGTCTTCATACTCGGACTCGGGGCACGGTGGCAGAAGCAGGCCGTGTCCTCGGTTTAGCTTCACCAAGTGACCCAAAGCCAGGAGTTCAGATGACTGTGGTATGGCAGAGATGTCCCCCGCTCAGAACAAAGGGATCGCCGGTGCAGATAAAAGACACCCCTCCCCCCCCATGGCAAATAGAAACTTACTGATATAAAATATCCACCGCTATCACTTCTACCCTAACATAACTCTAAAATTAATCTTACCATATATAAAACGCTTCCTTTCTGTGAACCCACTTGTAGGCCCTTCTCTTCAGGGACACTTAGCTGTAGGATAATCTCTCAAGTGGGGGTACCGTTCATTCCCTAGAGCCGGCCTGCCCAGTTGTCCAGTCCTTGCTATGATGGCAGTCCCCCTTATCTGCGGTTTCAGTTTATTTTTATTTTTATTTATTTGAGAGAGAGTGATTGAGATCAGGCAGGGGAAGAGGCAGAGGCAGAGGGAGAAGCAGGCTCCCCACCGAGCAGGGAGCCCGATGCAGGGCTCGATCCCAGGGCCCTGGGATCATGACCTGAGCCGGAGGCAGACGCTTACCCAGCCGAGCCACCCGGGCGCCCCTGCGGTTTCAGTCCTGCACGGCCAACTGCAGACCAGAAGCAGATGATCCTCTCATGCCCATAGCAGCCTCACGCTGGGTCACAACGCTCACGTCATTCTCCTGATGTCATCCCATAGGCATGGAACCACCTCACGTCCCCACAAGAAGGGCGGGTACAGTAAGGTAGTTTTGAGAGGCAGAGACCACATTTATGTACGTTTTATGACAATATATTGTTACGGTTCTATTATTAGTTATTGTGAATTCCTTACCGGGCCTAATTTAGAAATTAAACTCTCTCATTCATATGTAGGTATAGGAAAAGACAGAGTAAAACAGTGTATGTAGGGTTCGGTACTATCTGTGGTTTTAGGCATCCACTGGGGATCTCGGGACGTATCCCCCAAAGATAAGCAGGGGGAAAACTACTTAAGCCAACACACCCTGAAGAAAAGTCTTTGCGCATGCACACTGTGGCACAGAACATTCCTGGGAGTGGAAAGTATTCAGTGTTCCGACCCTGAAGGAGCCTGCCAAACTGCATTCTGGAAGGACTTTGGTTAGCAGGCTAGAAAACCGGCCCAGAGCCCCGGGTGGGCAGGAAGGGACAAGCAGGTGCGTCTGGGAGGCGGGAGCCCAGGGGGGCGCACATACACCCCCACCCCGGCCCCACTGCCCCACGGCTGCGGGCTCCTAACCCCCTTTCCGCAGACTTTATGATTTGGAGCGGGTAGTGGAAACTGAGGCACACTCCCGGGAGCTGTGCCTGCTGTCTCGGGCTCGCCCAGAGCGCGCCCCGACGGGCTGACTCCCTGGAGTCAGCCGAGGAGCCACCTGGTTGCCTCAGGGGCCAGAATCTACCAGGAGAATAGGTGCCTCTGAGCTGGTGTCTGAGGCGGATGAGGAAAGGACTTCCTGAGTTTTGGCCCTTCCCCTTCAGATGGAGCCTTAGGTGGCTGGCCATTTATGTGGCTGCCGGGGCCCAGGAGGGCGCAGGGCCCAGGGGCCAGGGCGGGGACTGGAAGCCTCACCCAGCAGCCTGCAGTCCAAGGCCACTGCTCTACCTCTGTCCTGTTCTCCTTAAAACGAGGGCCCTCAACCTGGTCCATCACCGATGGCTTACACATTGGCATTTTTCAGAAGTATACTTTTGTAATCAGAAAAATAAAGATATTACAATAAAAACAACCCAGCACCATTACAATTTGGAGGCACTCGATCACGGAGGAAGCTAATAAGGCGGCAGCGGACAAGGCCCAGGGTGTATTCCAGAGACCAACAGGAATGGCTCCGGGGAGGCTGTTTTGGGCCCTTTCGGCACGGCTGCCTATTTCCTGAGACGACTTAGTTCATGGGGCCGGGCCTTCAGGCTGGTGGGAAGGCCAGACTCTCGAGCGCGTTCGATTGGGCTCTCACCTCAGCGTGGATACTCCCAGAGCTTCGAGGTGTACGCTTGGCGGCAGACTCCAATTCCAGCTTGGCCGCTTATAGGGGAAAGCATTTCCCTGTCTGAGCCTCGGTCTCCACTAGCAGATGGGTCGCAGGCGCTGCCTTGTGGGGAGGCTGGATGAGAAAAGTGGATGACCCACCTGGCCTAGTGCTCAGTAAGTTGGGGTCGTTTTCACCTCGGTCCTGCACTGCACAAGCTGCAGATGGGGGTCATTTCAGGGGTTCACACCTTTCCAGTCACAGTTAGGTGGGGAAAGTTCAATTTCTCATCACCTGAATGCTGCTAGTCTTGAGTGGGCCATCGAGACACCTGGAAAACTCCCTCACGGGTTCTGCTCGGGAAGTTCTCACTGCCATCGGCCTGGCCGTAACCTTCCGCCAAAGAGCCTGTTACAAATGGGGCCGCTCAGGCTCAGCGGTCAAGGCGCAAACCCAGGGAGAGCCAGGACCCGAGCCAGGTCTGACCTTGGTACAATCCACCCGAGTAGCTTTTGGTCTTGGCACACACGGGAGCTACCTGTGGAAAGATTAAAATCCACAAATTCGTCTAAAATCCAGAAACTCTAAGGAACTCCTATAGCTCAACAACGAAACCCACTTGAAAAATGGGCTAAAGACTCAGATATTTCTCCAAAGGTACGCAAGTGGTCCACAGGCACGTGAAAAGATGCTCGGCATCCATTGTCATTAGGAAAACGCGAGTCACGGGGCGCCTGGGCGGCTCAGTTGTTGGGCGTCTGCCTTTGGCTCGGGTTGTGATCCCAGGGTCCCGGGATCGAGCCCCACATCAGGCTCCCCGCTCAGTGGGGAGCCTGCTTCTCCCTCTCCCCTGCCTGCCACTCCCCCCGCTTCTGCTCTCTCTCTCATAAATAAAATCTTAAAAAAAAGGAAAATGCGAATCAGAACCACAATGAGAGAACACTTCACACTCCTTAGGATGGCCATTAATAAAAATAAATAAAGGAAAATACGCATGGGCGAGGAGGTGGAGAGCCCTCACGAGTTGCCGGTGGGAACGAGAAACAGGGCAGCTGCTGGGGAAAACAGGTCACCCAGAATTCCCATAAGAGCCGGCAGCCCTGGTCCCAGGTATGTACCCCAAAGAATTGAAGACAGGTGTTCAAATCTTGTACGTGTTTCTATGAGCACCGTTCCCAACAGCCAAAATGTGGGAACAACGCAAATGCCCATCAGCTGACCGGATGGACATGATGTGGTTCATCCACGGGATGGAGTATCAGTCACACGGACGAGTCACATGCTGACGCATGCTCGTGCGTGAGCCTTGCAGACGATACGCGAAGGCAGAGAAGCCAGACGGTAGGTCACAGGCTCTGTGATTCCATTTACATGGACTGTTCCAAAGAGGTAAAGCCACCAAGACAGAAAGTAGACTGGTGGTTGCCAAGGGCTGGGGGGCTGGGGATGAAAACACAAAGGCAGGGCCGTGACCCACCCCACTGTTCAGATGCTCCAAGAGCAACTGGTGTAACTGGAGGGTGTGGAGCCAGGAGTCCAAGAGTGAGGACTGTTCGTTTCTTCACCAGCCAACAATGCAACTCCTGGCAACTCACACCCGTTCCTGCTTATCTCCTAAATAAAGGCACGTGGTTACGTATCATTCACAGGGTTTTGTAAAGACACAAGGGACGAGGCCACCCCCACGCAGAGCGGAAGCATTCTGCATCTCGTATGGTCTCTCTGCTCTGTCTGCGGGGCAAGCTGCTCGTGGGGCTGCGAGGAGAGGCCAAGAGGGCCAGAGGCCAGCGAGAGGTCCCTCGAGCCCTGGCTGGGGTCCGAGCCCGCCGCTTCTGCCACCGGTCACCAGTGCACCACACCCCCCAGAGCAGAGGGACAGGGTTCTTTATGAAGGCACACGAGCCGTGGGGTGTCCCGGCCACAGTGGCGTCTCGATAAAGACAAACAAAGCTTCTTCGATAGACACAATTTTAGAACAAGAGCCACGTTCTTGCATTACAACCTCTTTTCTCAGAACGTCCGCGAGCGGAGCCCCGTCCAGGTTGCCCGGAGCCTGGACCAGGAATGCCGGTCCCTCGAGGGGACTTTCAGAAGCCCCGGACGCCACAGCGCAGGCTGCGCCCACCCTGCTGCTGAAATGCTCCGTAGCACCAGCAGCGAGAAGCCCCAGGCCGGGGGTTACTGTGTACCCGAGATGGCCTTCTCCGGAGAGCGGTGTGGATCCTGACTCCTGAGCCCAGCTAGGCCAGGCGCCCAACGCCACCGCTTTCCTCAAGGCCTCCAGGGCAGGGTAGGTCCTAGTGAAAACAGCTTATTCCCGAGAAGAAAGGGGCAGGTCCGAGGAAGCGGTCCTCCCTCCCCTCCCCTGCCTCATCTGTTCTGGGGACAGAAGGGACGGGTGTGTCCAGGCTGGTGGCAAAGGCTGCATTTCCGGGGTTTCTTGGGCATGGACCCCGTGTCCGTGGAACTGGCCCGGGCTCTTTTGCTTCTGGCCTCTGGCCCCTGGGTTATTTCTTTGCCTCTTGGCCAGGTCAGGGCTCCGAAAGTCCCTGTGGGAAGAATTAGGGAAAGGCTGAGTTCGGAACAGACACACCGAAGAGGCAGGAAGTCCAGGTCCGAGTGTTTGGTGGAGGGTGTCCCCCCAGCCCAGCACGGCCGCGTCCACTGCCAGGCCAGCCTCCCTTCCCTCCTGTCATCTTCCGTGGCCCCAAGGCCACTCCCTGAAGAACCCAGAGCCCTTGAAGGCCTGGGCCCACAATCACTATCCTGATGAAAAGGCCACTGTGGTCACTTCACGCACGTCCTCCTTCCGGAAGCAGAGGTCCAGCCAACGGGCCGGAGGCTGCTGGAGAAGCAGCGAAACCCGGCAGGCCCGTGACCAACCACCTGCTCCCCACCTCCCATGCAAGTTAACTGAGTTCTGGATTCTTCCAGGCCTCAAACAGGTCTCTTAATTCTGACTTCCCTGGCGCCCAGGACAAGAGATCAGCTGGCCTGGAGGTCAGACACCGCTTCCTTCCAACAGGGCGACAAGGGACCTGTGCACGCCTGAAGCGTGTGCAGGGCTGGACCACCGCTCCTCACACACTTCCAGCGTGAGCCTGTTGCTGTAGTGGCTGTCTCCGGCCCCCCTCCGCCACCGGTAGCCAGCCCGGTGCCTTACCGAGCCTTCTGGGTTCTTCCTGTACGTGCGAGCTGGCAACCCCGTGTGTCAGAATCATAGACTGAGACTACCTAACTCTTTTTACAAGACAGGAACCCCAAGAAAGGAGAGCAAGTGCCCATGTTACTGAGGAAACCATGAGGCTGTGAGGCCAAGCCCTCTGCTCAAGGTTCCACAGGCAGGCTCGGGGCCTGGCTCTGCCCGACAACAGAGCTCCCGCCAGGCCTTTCGGCCATGCTCGCACATGAGCTAAGCTTCTGCTGTGCACTGGGGCGGCAGGGGCCGTTTCCAGGGGCCTCCGGGGGCATTATCCACCTGGCTCCAATGTCTGGGGGGCAATTCTCAACACACCCGGTTTCGGGGCACCGGGCCCAAGCCGTGTAAGCCTAAGCGGGTTCCTAGACATCCCCGGGGCCAGGCTCCGCATTTGAACGAAGGCGGCCGACGATGAGGACCTCGCGAGCCTACGGAGGCTAGAGGAGCCCAGGGCTGTGGGGTCAGGCCGACCTCGGGCCGCGTGGCTGTGTGACCCCGAGCAGGGGCAGCTCCTTTAACCTGGGCCTCCGCGGCCTCACAGGGCTCAGCCGACAGACGTGAAGACAGACGGTGTACTTGGCACAGCGCCAGGCACGCGGCGGGCTGCTCCGAGAGCCGCACCAGCCTTTCCTCTGGAACCTCCAGGCCCCACCACTGCCCTCCTCCCTCCCTCTGCTGCCCGGGTCTCCGAGGTGGAGCCCACCCCACAAACCCGAGCCCGGGGCCCGGGTGCCCTGCCTCACCTGGGGCCACGTTCTCGTCCACCCACTGGAAGAAGCCACACTGCTGCTCTCTGGGCTTGGCGCACGTGTGGAACTGGCGGCCCTTGTTGGGCCCGTCCTTCTGCACGGTGCGGGTGACAGCGGGCTGGCTGCACAGGCAGGATGTGCCCCCGCCACCATCCTCATCTCCGGGTCGGCCGGACCCGCCCCGGTGGTCCCCCGTGGCAGGCGGGCGGCCCAGCAAGCCGCCGGTGGGTCTCGACGTGGAGGAGGGCGGCCCCCCGGCTGCCGAGGGGCTGCTGTCGGCCCACAGGAAGAAGCTGCAGCCGTTGCCGTTGCACTTATAGAACTGGCGGCCCTGGTTGGGGCCCTCCTTCCGCACGGTGAGCAGCACGGCCTCCTGGCCGCAGTTGCAGGTCACCGAGTTGCTGCCCCCGGCGGCGGCGGCGGCGGCGGCGGCGGGTGGGGGAAGCATCTGGGGGGCGCTGGCCATTCTATTCAGGGACTGGCTAGCCTGCAGGTAGTTAGAGGGCTGACTGGCTGGCTGGAAAGGTCTGGGGGGCCCCCGTGAGAACCTCAGGTCCAAGATCTCCCGCAGCGTCTCGTCGCATCCACCGATGCAGCCGACAAACTCCAGGGGCATGGTCGGGGGAAGGCTGCCACGTTTAAACTTTAACTTCAACCTAGCGAGGCCAGAAGATGAGAGAAAGCCTTACTACTGGCTGCAAGCGTCTCCTCCTCGTCTGCAGAGGGCACCCCCGCACCTCAGGAGCCCGTGCCAGGCACCTGCCAGCCACAAGCCCCTCTGGGTGTCATGAGAGCTCAGAGTGGCAGACAGAAGAAATCTGAAACCCCAATTAATCTCTCAAACACAGAAGCTGCATGGCGCCTGGGTGGCTCAATCGCTTAAGCGTCTGCCTTCGGCTCAGGTCATGATCCCAGGGTCCTGGGATCGAACCCGATGTCGGGCTCCCTGCTCAGTGGGGACCCTGCTTCTCCCTCTGCCTCTGCCCCTCCCCTCCGCTCATGCTCTCGCTCCCTCTCAAATAAATAAATAAAACCTTAAAAAACAAAAACACAGAAACCTCGGAAAGGTCCACCTCTTACAACCAGTGGTTCCTGGGCCCCTGGACGCTGCTGGTGAGGGCAGAACTATTTCGTAACAAGGCTGGGAAGTTACGGCAGTTGCGCTCTTGCTCTCCCAGTCGTGTGCGTGAGTCTGCCAGCGGCTACAGCCCACACAACCAGCCCGGCAGGTCGACTGGGAGCAGACACAGAGTCCAGCTCTATCGAGCCGGACGCTAGACTCACAAAAATGGAAAACAATGCGTTTTCTTTCTGTTTTCTGCTTTGCAAATAGGCATTTTCTTCTTACCTTTTTGCTTTACAAATATGTAAAAATATGCTATTTATCTTAGCATGCAGTGTATCTACTGTAAAATTAACAAGTACATTTTTAAAACGTCTCCACTTCAATTCAGAATATGGTAATACCGATAAACTTAACCCACAATGAAAGCTCTTTGGGTGCCCTCCTCAATGACTTTTAAGAGTGTAGGGGTCCTGGGGCGCCTGGGTGGCTCAGTTGGTTAAGAGTGTAGGGGTCCTCTGACCAAAAGGTTTGAGGACCAGTTCTACCCAAGGGCTCTGGGCTTTTGGGAGGAGCTTGGAAACGCTATCCGACACTGGAATATTCACTTCCCCACACTCTGCTGGGCAGCAATCTAATGGGAATGGGAAGGGAAAGGGTGCCTTCATGGTTCTTCAGGTGCATGGAGGGCTCCTCCCAAGCTGCCCCGGAACCTGCCCCCAGGCCCGTGGCTTCTACACCACAAAGGCAAGGGTGGGACACAAGCCGATTCAGGACCACCAACCCAGCTGCTGCTGAGCAGGGCGAGCACGCCCCAGCCTCGCAGGGGCCCAGCTCACCTGTAAACAGGGTGCGGCTGACACACTGGACACACGCTCCCGTCCCTGCTGGCCTCCAGCACAGAGTCCGGGAACCACACGGCCGATCGGCATTCTGGGAAGCCCGTGCAGCTGAGGTAGAACCTGGAGAGGGAGCACAGGGAGCAGGGTCGGGCAGAAGCCACCAGACTGCAGGAAATACACATTCCTGGGCTGTCGTCCATCTGGCAAAGATTTTCTCCGGCTGATTACAGGAGACATTCACTTTTCTGGAGGACACATAAATGGATACACAGTCGCTGGTACTGAATGACTAAGAAAAACTGGCCTGCATTTATTTCTCATCTCCCTAGGAAAAAGAAACTGCTACTGCCGACTGTGCTTTCTACTTAGAAACCACCAACCCACTGACCAACTCCTGGGCCACGGCAAGGACCAGTCCCGAGGGCTCTGCTCAGCCTCCAGGCTGCGTGCTCTCAGATGCTCCCTGACTTCTCCACACAACAACCCTGATGGGGACAAGCAGCAGCCTCGGTTCACAGTGGGGCAAACAGGCAGGGGGTGGTCTGGAAACCTGCCCAAGGATGCACGTGCAGTGAGTGGGGGCGCTGGGAAGAGAACCCTAGCTGTCTGATGAAAGAGTCTTTACTCCTGACACCTGCACCACGTCGTCGGCCAACAGTTCTTTACGGCTTCCAGTCACGGAACTTTAGAGCCAGAAAAGCCAATGGGAACACAATTTACAACGTCCTCTGAGCATGCCTGGGTTTGACTGGATCAGGGGAAAGCCAACCAACCAAACCTCACACCCCAATTATTCAAATAGCAAATCCACAAACTCAGAAATGGAAACTGTCAGATAACCCGTGGAGTGGTAAATTCCACAGGACGATCTCTAGACCTCCCCGGGTGACCCAAGCACTTGGAGCATTTGAGAGTATCCTGCACTGGGCTAAGCCCACCCTGGCACTGGCTTCTGTGTTTGTGGGCAACCCAAGTCCCAGATCAGGCCCATTAACCTCTGGTTTCTGAGAGCCAGGCTGGCCTTCTCTGTGCCCGGGCCAGGGATGGGTCAGTAGTCGGGGAACCCACGGGGGTCGGAGGAATGAAGGACCTGGGATCAAATTCTGCTTTTCCTGACCCCAGGGCTGGACTTTGGAGACATTTCACCAAATCCTCACCCTTCCCACGGTAGGTACCACTGATCTAGGCTTATGGAAAAGAAAACTAGGGCTCAGTAGCTAATGTAACCTGTTTTGGGGCACAAAACTTGTGTATGTGGCAGAAGTGGGATTTGAACTCAGACCCAGCTGGTTCCTCAGCTCCTGCTTCTCCACCATCATCCACACGGTGGGTGGGCGATGTCCTATCCACAAGGGACATGGCAGCGCCATCATCCCCCACCTCCTCTGAATCCCAGAGCACTTCACATCTCCAAGGCCAGGTCCCTGTCAGCTACCATTCTATCTCCAATACCTAGTCCAGGGGTCGGCAACAGTAGGACCGCCTTTAAATAATGATGCAGAAATGCAATGACAGGGCCTTGCAGAGAGTGTCCAGCCAACCCAGCAAGTGCTGGGTAAGCAGATGTATGGTGCAAGTAGGGCACTGACCCGCCATTCTTCTTGGTCTTGAGGACCATGTCCTTGTTGCACTGTGGACACTTCTTGATGGGCTCTGGCATGCTCGGGTAGATGGCTTCTTGCTGGGCCACCTCTGCCCCTTCCCCAAAGTACTGGGCTAACGCCTCATCCAATCTGAAGAAAGAGCAAAACATTCACAATATTCTTTGTTGTTTTTTTTTTTTTTTTAAGATTTTATTTATTGGGACGCCTGGGTGGCTCGGTTGGTTAAGTGTCTGCCTTCGGCTCAGGTCACGATCTCAGGGTCCTGGGATTATGACCTGAGGCGAAGGCAGACGCTTAACCGACTGAGCCACCCAGGTATCCCTACAATATTTTAATTTAATTTAATTTATTTATTTGACACAGAGCAAGAGAGACAGAGAGCAAGCACAAGCAGGGGGAACGGCAGGCAGGGGAGAAGCAGGCTCCCTGCTGAGCAAGGAGCCCGATGCGGGACTTGATCCCAGGACCCCGGGATCATGACCCGAGCCGAAGGCAGCCGCCCAACTGACTGAGCCACCCAGGCGCCACCCCCCTACAATATTCTTATGTGCACACAAGGTGAATGTGACCGGGGCACAGGGGGCTGCTCACCACAGGCCTGATGCAGAGAACAGAGGTTGGCCAAGCAGCCCTGGCTCCTCGCTGGCTCCCAGCAGCTCCCAGGAGGGATCCAGCTACAGGCAGGTACTTCTGCCTTGTCACTGGCTTCACATCAAACTGCACAGGGTCCCTGCACGCACTCCAGAAGTGTCTGTCTGGGTTTGCATTTAAACTAGCTCATCCGTTCCCCTCCCCGGCCTTTTTTTAAAGATTTGGGCACACCTGGGTGGCTCAGTTGGTTGAGCGTCTGACTCTCGATTTCGGCTCAGGTCATGATCTCAGGGTTGTGGGATTGAGCCCCGTGTCAGGTTCTGCGCTCAGCACGGAGTCTGCTTAAAATTCTCTCTCTCCTTCTGTCCCTCCCCCAACTTGCATGCACGCTTGAGCACACTCTCTCTCTCTCTAAAAATAAATTTAAGTAATCTCTACACCCAACACGGGGCTTGAACTCAATCCCGAGATCTAGAGTTACATGTTCTACCGACTAAAGCCGGCCAGGCGCCCCGGCTCATCCATTTCTTTCCCGAGTTGGCATGAGGCAGAAAAGGTGTATTTTCCTAACAACATGCCCACACACTGCTTGCTACGTGACCACCTCCAGATACTCCATAGAACAAATGTGTCAGACAGCAGCACTGAATTTACGGACACGGGATTGTGTGCCTGTTAACTTGAGACAGAATTAAAATCCAGAGAATGGCATCTCTAAAGCCAACAGCCTGGAATAACTGGCCCAGATTCTTCTGCTTACTGTTTCCAGGCTGACAAAGCTCTACAGAAGGAACAGAACTCAGGAGGAAAACCCGAAGCGGGAGGAGCTGCATGTGAACATCCCTGCCAAGCACGACACCCCTGCAGAAGGCGAACTGGCCTGGGGGACGTTTAAGCACCCGCGGGCACACGTTACAGGGAGCAAGGAGGCACACCCCCTGCTTTCTGCTGAATCTTCCCCCGCTCTCACGGCTCAGGGAAAGGTCACAGCCCAGGAGGCAGAACTAAATGACCTCACACGCAGGCAAGCAGGGTCTGGACTCACTTCTTAGCTTTGGCCACTGCTTCAATGAAAACCTGCTTGTATTTCTGGACTTGCTGCCTTAGAACCACCCACTTGTCCTTCTTGCCTTCACAGATCAGCTTCAGGTCAGCTTCCAGCTCGGCCCGGAGGTCAGGCTTGGACATCTCATAGCCCATGGAGTCATAACCTGCAGGGAGAAGAGCAGTGTTCCGAGGGGCCCCACACGGCACCCCCGGGGGCTTCAGCCGCTCGGCTCTGCAACCACCCACCTCGAACTCCTCCCGCTTACCTTCCACGAGCCCCATGCCCAGATGCCCTGGGAGAAACCGCTTGTCCGCCGTGAGCCCGACATACATCCGGGCTTTGATTGTCTCGATGTGCTCCGCGTGAGTGGCGTCGGTCCCTGAAAGCCACTTCCGGTTACTCAGCGTGACGCAGACATCCCCCCGCTCTCCCCACAGGCACCTTCCCCTGCCTGGACTCCTCATTCTCGGTAAGACACCTGCACTTGCAGCAGGCCCACCCCAGCTCTGAGACCCCTCCAAGTCTTTCTCCTCTGCTCCACGTGGCAGAGCCACAGCTGGCGCCCACGTCACGAACTCTGCATCAGGGCAAAGTGCTCAGTCTCCACCTTTCTGGTCGCGTCCTCCACCCAACCCATTTCTCATGCTGTGGCCAAAGGGATCTTCGCAAATGGAGCTCTGTCATCCAGGAGATGCAACTCAAAACCACAAAGAAATACCACACTTCACACCCACTTGGTGTGAAGCATCACCAAAAAGCAGAGAACAAATGTTGGTGAGAACTCGGAGAAACCTGAACCCTCACACGTGGCCGGTGGAACGTGAAATGCGGCAGCCGCCGTGGAGATCAGTCCGGAGGTTCCTCAAAAGGTAAACACAAGAGTGACCACAGGACCCAGCAGTTCTCCTAGGTATCTACGCAGGGGAACCGCAAACCCGTCCGCCCACAAACCTGTGCACAAATGTGCGCTGCAACATTATTCACAACTGCCCCAAACCAGAAATGCCCTGAATTCCACCAACTGATGAATGGATAAACTGTGGTCTCTGCACACAATGGAACAGTACAGGGAACGGAAAGGACGCAAGTACTGACTCGCGCTACAATGTGGACGAGCCTTGAGAACTCGCGAAGTGACAGAATCCGTTACAAAAGGCCACTCGCTTTATCATTCTACGTATTCAAACTGTGGAAAACATGCCAATCTACTGAGTCAGAGAGATTAGTGGTTGCCCAGGGCTGGAGGGATGGAGGGGAGCGGGAATGGGGTGAGACTGCTAAGGGGTATGGCATTTCTTTCTGAGGCGGTGAAAACGTTCTAGAATTGAGTAAGGTGATAGCTGCGTGATTTTGTGACTATACTGAACATCTTAAATCAGTTCGTGAATTATGTCTCAACAGTGCCGCTAACGTTTTTAAGAGATGCAGCTCTTTGCTCCTTTCCTCAGAAATCTTAAATGGCTCTCTGCGAGCCAAAGGCCCACACCCAAGCCCCTCAGGCCAGCGTGCCAGGCCCTGCAGTTGGGCTCCAATCATCTTTCCGGCCTCACCTTCCGTGACCACCCCGTCTGCTCCCCGCCACAGGGCCACGTGCTTCCCCGGCGCTTTGTGCTCCCTCATGCTCCGCCTGTGCTAGCCTTGTCTCGCTCCCCGGGAACTCTTACTGTAAGGTTTTAAGGCCCCTGCCCGATCTCTGCAGAACCAGCAGGCTGTGTTTTATGTGTTGCTTTGATTTGTTTCTCCTGCTAGATGAGCCCTCGACGGGCACGATGGATGCCTAGGCCTTATTGCTCGCTGTGTCCCCAGGGCCAAGACCGAGGTCTGGCTCCCGTGAGCGTCACATTTGTAATGAGTACATCCTGAGCGGTGCACAAACTCTAATTTGACTTAAGCCGACAGGCTTTCTGGATAGCACGACAACGGCCAGTGGACTCCAGGAGGGGCCCTTCTTCAGAAGTCACGGAACTACAAAAGCCACTGGGTAGTGCGGTGGCCGTCCGTGCCCCACGGGGAATGGCCTGCTGCCGGAACACGCCCAGGGAGCTCTACTTCTTCTTCCTGCCACTTCTCTCTCCATCACGCCACTGCCCTTCTGAACTGGGTTTGCCAGAGACGATCCTCAGAGTCGTGATGAAATGGACGAGGGGGCAGCAGACCTGCCTGTAAACCCAGGGCCACGGAACCTATCGGGAAAACCAATTCTGGCCCAATCTCTTGTTTAAACTCATTTCGGTGCCTAAACAATTAGGGGAAACGCTGTAACGAAAACTCAGAGCACGGCCACCTGTGGCTGGCTGCAGGGTGGCCAACCCAGATGCCGCCGGGGCCTGGCACGGAACGAGTGGTGAGCAAAGCCAAATGAGAAGAGACAGCTGCCTCCCAGTTCAAACGACTGCTTCGTTTGAAGCAGGGAAGGCTTGGGCTGCTAGACCGCCCGACACTTCGCAAGACGAAGACACAGACGTTCATGTGGAATCTCTCAAGTTTTGAATGTTGGTACCTTATTCAAAATAAAAACAAACCCCTGTGTGGGCCAAAAATCCTGAGTCCATGGCCAGGACCTGGCCAGGGTGCTCCCAGTCTAGACGCCCCTGAGTTCTGGGATACATCTATGTCCTGATCCGGCTGGAGTGGAGCAGAGGTTAAGAGCCTAAGTGTGGACTTATTCAGACCAAGGCTTTAATCACTCGCGCAATGGAGCACCTGCGTGGCTCAGTGGGTTGTCCGACTCTTGATTTTGGCTCAGGTCATGATCTCTGGGTCATGGGATAGAGCCCCGCGTCGGGCTCCGCGCTGAGTGGAGTCTGCTTGGGATTCTCTCCCTCTGCCCCCTGCCCCCACTCTCTCTAAAATACATAAAGTAAATCTTAAAAAAAAAACCAAAAAAACCAAAAAAACCTCACACACCTCATGGCCTCGGGCAAGTTCTGAACTTCTCTATGCCTCCCTTCAGCTATACAGGGGGTCAAGAGGACACCCACGGCACAGCTGTCCCGAGACCAGAAGAGGTACGAGAGCTGGTTACCACGACGACAGGCTACTGACCAATGCCGTGCTTTTCCATCAGGGCGATGAGGTCGGCTTCAGTGAGCAGCTGGGGTGGGCTGGTCTCCCCGTCCACCATCTCCACAGTGCTGGGCTGGAAGCAGGCGCCTCTCTCGTAGACAGGGAGGGTCTACACGGAGAAGCAGAAGCACTGGTCCGATCATTCCGCGCGGCACTGGGGCAAAAGACAACTGCCATTTTGAAGCGCGTGGCCCTGTTCCGGCGGGTGGCATGAGGTTCGGGAACATGACTGTCTTCCCCTCTCCCCGAGGCCCACGGAGAACGTGAACTCTGACCTCTGACTGGGCCTGCGCTTTATTACCTTGTCACTCCAGTGGTCATACGGGTACACGTCCAGATAGTTTCGGGCCAAAATCATGAGGCCGTGGGCCACGAAGCGTTCCTGAGCAATGTCGATCTCCACGGTGGTCTCCTGCCCCTGAGCATCCTGGGAGCAGCAAGCCAGGAAATGCCGCACGATGAACTCATATAGTCGCTGCTCATCTCCCTAGGAAGACAAGAGAAGAGTCTGCAACTCCCTGCAGAATATTACTGCCCAAGGACCACAGCCTCACCGGAAGTCTGACCTGGTTTAGGCCACCTTTCAGCCTCGAGTTCTGCACAGAAGAGGGCACGTGGCTCCTGTAGGTTCTGCACCCACACGGAGTGCCAGGCAAACATGTTTTTTGACGTAAACCCAGGCGAAGGAGAAAACGAGGTAAAAGCATAACAGCTAACAAGAGACCCCTTGTATACAAGACACAGGAAAGTTGTAGCCGGCAGCCCCGGCTCCCAGGGTTTGTGGTGATTTTCTACCAAGTAAGTAATCAAGGATCTAGTGAGCCTCGATCTGTCAAAAGCCCCTAAGACACTCATACTCATAGCCAGTAATTCTCCTTCTAAGAACGGATCCCAAAGAAATAGTGGGAGGCGCACACAAACACTGACACAAACGTTAACTGTCATCATGTGTCAGAAAGTTGGGGGCAATTTATTCTTAAAAAACACATTTGGCAAAATAAATTATGGTATATCTACGCAGTCATTAGGTGTCGTACTTGAAAATATTTCAGCATATGGGGAAACGGCAAATGTTTCTTCCTTATAATCTTTTGAATTTCCTAAATTGCCTGCAACGAACATATATCACATTTAAATCCAGAGAAGAACAGTATGTATTAATAAAAGAAGGAAACAAAGACCAGGCAGGATTTAGCTTTGCAATAAGCCTGCAAACAAGCCCAACCAGCTTGGCCTCACAGAGTGCATCCCCCAGCTGAGGAAGGCCGGCACCAGGTGAGATGCCTGAGCTTTCTCAGGGCTGCCTCAAAGCCCTGCCGCCCCTAGACCACGACAGGAGGCCAGTGTCAGGGTGTCACCGCCTCAGGATGGCAATGGAACCCGGTCCAGTCTGGGGAGGCCCCATGGGGGCTGTGCAAAGGCACAGGGAAGGTGAACTGCCCAGCCAAGTGTGGAGGGTCTGACAGAGCGGGAAGTGGGGCTGGACAGAGTGGAGCCCAACCTGGGGGGAGGGAGGGGGCTCATGGAAGCCAAGCAAGATGGTGAAGCAAGAAAATTCTGACATGACATCTCTTTGCTAAAATGGAAGAGCTATTTCAAAATCACTCAGTTCCTAAAGTAAGAGCTCGCAGAGTACATTCAAGTGCTACTAACCCCTTGCTTCCCCCTGGGTTCCAGGAGGCAGGGTTAGGGAAACCGACCTGCAAGCTGTCGGTGTATTTGGTGGGGTGGATGGGAGGGTGAGCTTGGTCAGACTTGTTCCCGTTGCGTGGAGTGGGGCCACCCCGCTCTAGAATGCTCTGGGCGAAGGCCCCCCAGCGTGGATCCAGGGTCTGCTGTTCCACCAGCACGGTCAGGTTCAAGTCTTTGGGGAAGATGTTTGTTTCAGTACGAGGATAGCTGATGTACCTAGAACAAAGGCAAACAAAGAGAAAAAGAAACTGTTATAATTGCTCTAGAAACAGCTGAATTAGACTGGAAACCCCCGGAAACACCAGTCATGCCCCATTGGCCTTTGCCGGCTCAACGGAAGGCAACCTAGCTTCCCTCTGCTGAGGAAGGTTCTCACATGGGACCCACAATGGGGTGAGCAACAGTAGTCTCGCTGGCTGAGACGCTCTGAGAAGCCAGAGCGTAAGTGAGGGGGCAGCACGGGGCGGGACATACTCCCACTAGGCCTGCCAGCACCTGTGTGGCCGGGGACACAGCCCCGGCCCGATCCCTCATCACTCTGCCAGTGACCCCCACAGCCTTGACAGCGGCAACAGAGCATGCTTCTACGACTTCACTTCGAGCACAGAAAGAATAATGTTGGGGGGGAGCGCCTGGGTGGCTCCATCAGTTAAGCATCTGCCTTTGGCTCAGGTCATGATCTCAGGGCCCTGGGATCAAGTTCCAGGTCGGGCTCCCTGCTCAGCAGGGAATCCGCTTCTTCCTCTGCCCCTCCGCTCGCCCCCCTCTCTCTCAAATAATAAAATCTTGAAAAAAAATTAAAAAATAAATGCTAAAAAAAAACAAAGAAAGAATAATGCTGCCTAATAAACCATAATGTGGACCCTCCATGTAATTTAACATTTTTTTTTTTTGGCCGCTTAAACAGCATTAATGAGATAATTTACATTCCTGTTTCCGTACAAGTCTTCAAAACCCACTGCATATTTTACACTTATAGCACGTCCCAAATTTCAAGTGTTCAACAGTCCCCTGTGGTGAGCGGCTGCCAGCCACACTGGTTGTGTGGACCACAACTGTCCCTAGATGGTTTACGATGGCAAACGACTCCCAAAGGTGCTGTGTGCCACCTGCCAAGGCCCTGGGGGCAGCTGCTGAGAGGTCAACAGTGGGATGTGAATTCACTCTTATGGGCTCTTATTTTAGGAAGTGATTTCGAAATGCCTTTTCGTATCAGAAAAGTCAGTGTCGGGGCGCCTGGGTGGCTCAGTCATTGAGCATCTGCCTTCGACTTGGGTCATGATCACAGGATCCTGGGATCGAGCCTTGCAGCGGGCTCCCTGCTCGGCGGGAAGCCTGCTTCTCCCTCTCCCACTCCCCCTCCCCCTTCTTGTGTTCCCTCTCGCTGTGTCTCTCTCTGTCAAATAAATAAATAAAATCTTAAAAAAAGAAAAGAAAAGAAAAGTGTCAAAATTCTTCTACTTCAGAGTTCAGGTGATGTCTAGACAGTCTGTATTTTCCCGTAAGATCTAAAATGTTTTACCCTGGGGCCCCTGGCTGGCTCAGTGGGTGACTGTGTGACTCTTGATCTTGGGGTTGTAAGTTCAAGCCCCATGTTGGGTATAGAGATTCCTTAAATAAAATAAAATGGGGCTCCTGGTGGCTCAGTCAGTTAAGTGTCTGACTCTTGATTTTGGCTCAGATCATCATCTCAGGGGTGTGAGATCGAGCCCCGCGTTGGGCTCCATGCTGAGTGTGGAGCCTGTTTAAGATTCTCGCTCTCCTGGGGCGCCTGGGTGGCTCAGTTGTTAAGTGTCTGCCTTCGGCTCAGGTCATGATCCCAGGGTCCTGGGATCAAGCCCCATATCAGACTCCCTGCTCTTCGAGAAGCCTCCTTCTCCCTCTCCCACTCCCTTTGCCTGTGTTCCCTCTCTTGCTATGTCTCTGTCAAATAATAAAATCTTAAAAAAAAAAAAAAAGATTCTCGCTCTCCCTCTACGTCCCCTCTCTCAAAATAAATAAATAAAATAAAGTATTTCACCCTGACAAAGATGCACTGAATTCTATTCCCAAATGTGGAATATTTACCCTTGAGTGTAGAGCTTTTCGGCAATCCTCATGGTTTCTTTAGCATTTATTCTCAACTTTCGAGAAGCCAGCTTCTCAAGCTCCTGTTAAATGTGTCACAGGCAAGTTAGGGTGTAGTGCAGGAGTCAGAGGGCACAACACGGCCACACAACTCATCTTCACAAATGTCTGGCCCCTGTCACTCCAGCTGCTGTCACACAGAGGGGAAAAGGCTGTGCTGAGGAAAGCTTTCTGGGCCTGCCGGGCAGGGACAGGGGTAGATCTGATGGGCAGAAGCAAGAATCACCTGGGGAGGCAACAGATTCCCGGACCCTGAGCACTGGGGTTTTTCTGACAGAAGAGGGCTGGGATAGAGGCCAGAAATCTGCATTTTTCAACAAGCCAGCTAATACACAGATTCTAATACAGGCAGTCTGGGAACCGTACTTTGGGAACACCACCCGGGCCCTAGTAACTTCTCCTGGATGAAGAATACCATTCTTTAAGAACTTCAAGAACTCCTGGGAGATAATTGGCTGTCCTTCCCCTTGGTGACATTCCACCAATGCTGATGGCTGGATGTCAAAGCATCCTTAACCAGTGAGGAATAATACACTTATGTCTGTTATAGGAAATCAATCCATAACTCTCCCCTTGTCAATTCAACCACACGCACACACACGCGCACACACACACGCACGCACGCACGCACACGCACACACACACCATGCCACACCACAGATAAAGGATATACTGCCCACCAGTCCCTGCATGTTTCTCTTAGCCTGCTTGCTGTGTATGTTCAATCTCCAGAGTGAATCCTGACAGAAACTATACTCTGAATTTTCCTGCGAAGTGGTCTTTGGGAAGGGGCACCCCCCACCCCAAGGCAGTTAACTCCAAGTTATGTCCAACAGGGGTGGCTCTTCCTGGGTCTAAAAATTTGAAAAACTCTGTTCCCTTTAAGGTAGGCTATTAATGCAGATCTTTAAAAGTGATGTGTACACAGATTACGCAGAAACATTAACAAAAAAATGCTTGGGCGGAAAAAACAACCTATTCCAATTACAACAATGTAAAATACATGCGTATGAAAAAAATAGGAAGACACTCCGATTGTATCAAAGATTGCGTAAGGCTGGCAAGGTGAGGGGTAATGTGTCTTCCTCTTTTTGCTTCCCAAACCACACAAGCAGCTATACTGCATTTATTAACTTAAAAAACAAACAAAAAAAACAAACCCCAGCATTAGAAGACTAAGCAGGCCCTGTTTCGGGGCTTTTTTCTTCCCAAGCACTTTCCTACATGGCCCCGTAAAGGGTGATGTTTCCTGCCACTGGGCCACCATCTGCCACAGAAACCGGGTCCCCACCATGGGAAGTCAGAGCTCCTGAGCACCTGGCGCACTCTTCTGGAACATACCACAGTGTCCAACGCTTGAGGCCTCCACTTGCTCTTTGCCTTAGACCTGACCTCCACCACGGTTGCCCTGGGATCCTAGAAAGCCAGAAAAAGCAGAGGCCATATTAACCCGTTGGTGCACCTTCTCCAGCATTCCTGCGGCAGCCTCGGCTCACCATTCTGGACGACACCACCAGCAGAGGTCCCTGCTCCGGCCGTGAGAGGACCTCGAGTGAGGTCGGCTTGTAGCCCACAGTGTGGTGGAGATATCACCACCTTCCCGCTCAAACTAAGGCTTTGAGGGGCAACTTCATAAGCCCTCACACCAGTCTGTGCATCTCTGAAGAACTGTTTCCTATCTACAGGTGCAGTGTACATTTTTTTTTTTTAAATTCAGGATAATACCAAGTCAGAAATAGGAGAAATTATACACTACAAGCTGGAGAACTCAATCTTAAGACTGACTTCACACTTTTTTTCTTTTTTTAAGAGAGAGAGCAGGGTGGGGGGGGCAGAGGGAGACAGAGAGAATCTTAAGCAGGCTCCATGTCCAGCGTGGACCCCGACGTGGGGCTCGATCTCACAACCCTGAGATCATGACCTGAGCTGAAATCAAGAGCCGGATGCTTAACTGACTGAGCCTCCCAGGCACCCTGCCCAACTTCACACTGTTAAGAGACTATAAATGGACAAAGAACTCAGTCTAACTGATTTGTTGATGAGGACGTATTTCAAAATCCACATTTCTCTCCGCAAATGGGAGTTGGCTCCAGGTGCTCTTTACAAGGAACTCAAAAGTATCCAGCTTGCCAGGTTTTCCTGCACATTCTAGTGAAGTAGAAAAAGGACAGCTCTCTTTTATTGACAGATAAAACGTGCAGTGTTACAGACATGCCCCGTGGTTGCGTGACCTCCAGGGTCAAAGGGCGGAGCAGTGGGGAGAGTGACTCCTGGGAGGCAGTGTGGTCTGCAGAAGGGGCTGGAGAGTCACATACACTGGGATCCAGCCGTGCTCTGCTCCTTATTAACTCCAGAGAGTTTGTGCACAACTTACTTAACTTCCTCCCACATCGCCTGTAAGGTGGGGACAGCATCGCCACCCTCACAGGCACCAGGAGGACTGAATAAAATCACGTAACACTGTCAGGCACTGTAGCAGGTACTCACAAGTTACCATTCCCCTTCCCAAATCACTAATAAACCTGCCTGGGGGCTTCGGCCAGGGGCATACATGACTCATCAAAGTAGAGATCTCTGAGCTTTGCTTGAGCACCACACAGGTTGCAGCTCGGCCACCCACCGCCCGTGGCCCTCTGACGTGCTGCGCTCTCCTGACCCGTGCTTCCCCCACGCTCTCTTGTGGCTGGCTGCCTCCTGCTAATCACCCTGATCTTCACTCAGAGGTCACCGTGAGAGGCCTTCCCTGACCATCACACCTAGTACATTCCCGTTCCCTGCCCCCCGCCCCCAAGGCAGGTCTCTGTTCCTTTACCCTTTTACTTCCTGGCATCAGTCCCCATATGAAATTGACTTGTTCATTTGTGACTTTCTTCTCTCTAGATCTCCTCATCTGACCAGTGGAAGAGGAGGCTGGACCAGATGCTGTCTAAACTCCTTCCAGCTCTAGGAGTCTATTGTTCTAGACTGGTCCAGAAGATCCCGAGTTATCTCTGGTGACAGCATTCTGCTGCAGGGAGAGAGTGAAGCTATACAGTTCTTACGGTTTCTGACTTCATCTAAAAGGTCTACAGATCCTTTACTTTCAGATTGTTGAGCATTGTTTTCATGGAGTTCCGGTCTTATTGGTTCCCCAAAAATGCTACTGAGATGCAAGCGGAAAGCTATGGTTCAGCAGGAAAATGGAGCAGGATCACCTCCCCTAACAGAGAAAGACTGGCTTGGGAACTTACAGAACAGTTTTCCCAGATCATTAAAATTCCAAATACTTCTTACCTCCATGCACAGCTGGTAGAGGACAAGACAAGCTGTGTGGTTAAAGAGACGATGCCTTTTCCAGTTGAAATCTACGACTCCATCTGTGTGGTCATGAGTTACTGTATTGGGGACAAACGGGAAGGCCGTGACTCACGGAAGCCATATGATAAGACAGAGAGGAGAAAGTATATTGCAGTGGAAGTCCAAAGGGATATGAAACATTGCTTTGGGAATATTTTGGGTCCCTAAGAAAACTAAGTGGATTCTGAACCTTGTAATGGGGTGGGAGGAAGGACAGCAAGGCTGAAAAAGTTAATTAGTGCCATTTACGCTCCTGGTTCTTCCCGGGCCCTTGGGCTCCACACCATAAACAACTCCCCCAGCCTTACCTTTAATTTTGTGGAAGATTTCTGGCACAAAAGCCTGAATGGCTTTGAACCTCTCCACCACGAACCCCAGGGTCGGGAACTGGCAGCTGCCGTAACTGATCAGCTGCTCTGCCAACACTTCTGGAAAAATCCTCTGAAGCCTCAGGGTTTGGAACCTAGTGAAGGCAGCTCCTAGAAAGTGAGGGAGGAACGAAGAAGGAAGGAGAAAGTGGTGGACCGCAAGATCAAAGCTAGGGGCACGTACTTACACACAAACCTCATTCTCAGTTCTGTAACCCAACACCCAGTGTGCCACGTGGGCGCCTAGGAGTCCGCGGGTGGCTCACCAATCCTCAGGTCCAGCTCCTGCCTCACGTCCACGGCATCGCTCACTCTCTGATCGGGCTCGGTCAGGTTTTCACAGGCCGCCCGGACGGCTCGGGGGGTGATCTCAGAGAAACGGGCTCTCAGCACCGGCAGATTGGGCTTCACTGTGCAAGAATCACCAAGGTCAAAGTCAAATCACCTTGCCGTCCCAGCATAAAGGGTCCATTTTTCTTAAACTGCCCTGAATGGAAGGAAAACCATCTCAAGACGCTGTGAGGCACCCAATTTTCTGATTAGATTAAATAAAAGCATGCCTCGCCACCTACAAGGAAAACTTCACTATAACCGCTAAATTTAGTGCTGTCAGAAATAACAGTGGTATGAATTTTAGGGATTCAAGTGAATTTCAGCTATTCTCTTGGCGAGACTCTCGAGATCCTAATCTCACTTGCTCTCTTAGACACTTACGGAAAATAAAAAGGTCGTCAATGAAAAGATCCTACGGGGGAATTTCACGTCCTGGCATGGAAATAACCCAGGACACGTACACTGTCCCTGAAAGTTAATGTACTTAAATTCCCAGGAGTCATTACAGCCCTCCAAAGTACACAAACACACTTTGGGAAAACGGAAGCCGTCCACTCTCTGAAGCCTGAGAATGGGCTGCGCATCACTTCCTCTAAGTTACCTGAAATCATTAGCCCTGTTCGAGTCATTTAAATTCATTTCAACAAGCACGTATTAACATCCCGGCATTGTACAAAGGACACAGCAGACAAACAAACACGACATTCTAGAATTATTCTTCATACTGCACATATGTCATATATACGTTCTCTTAGAAATATTCAGTACGTAAAGAAATAGGATATACAAAGTCCTTGCTCTCGAGGAGCTGGCCATGTACTTGGACCTAACACGTCACAAGCCCTAGGCTACATGGTCTGTGCCACTGGTTAACTCATTTAGTCCTTATGCAGCCCTAACAGCTGTGTCAGACTGGCCTGACTTTCCAGAAAGATGCGGCACCCGAGGGTTTAGTAACTTGCTCCAGGACACATAGTTGGGGAGAACTGATGGATCCAGGGGGGAGACTCTCTGGGGAGGAACTCAGCCACAGCCCACTCACACAGAGGAACCATCTACTTCTGTGGTCCCAAACTACAGAAACTCAGAAGCCACAGCACTTACCGGCCCTGCATACGTGGATAATTTCAAACCCGATATTTTCACCTTCTCTATCACAGTCGGTCCAGATCACCAGGGCTTGGCACTGCTGAGTCTCTCGTTCCAGAGTTTTCTGAAATTCCCAGCGGGGAAAGAGCAGGGAGAGCACAACTGCAATCACTTGACACCTCTCTGCTAAAGAGATTTGACTGAAGACTAGTGATGTTCTTGGAATATGGCAACTTGGCGAGAAGGAGAGATCTGGGAAACTGCTCTTACCACCTCGAAGGATGCCAAGGCCACTAGTACAATCCTCCAGCTTAGAATCACAGACCTGTAAGTGAGCTTCTAGAAGCCTGAGGGTTTAATACAACTACCCGAGTCTGATGAAACCTAAAACTCAGTTCTAACGCATACTTATAACTCTCATGGCTCTGATAATGAACTGGTCCAAAAAAAAAAAAAAAAAAAAAAATCCCTAAATTGAGTTTTACCCCAAGGCTTCCCAGTTCGCAGTGAACTAATTATAGGTGCTCTGACAGCTTGACTTGCTGTCAAATGACCCTTTACACTTTGTGGTCTCTCCATGTTAATTAGGGCTGAATCTAGGATTAATAACTTAACACTATTATTACCAGGATTTAAACAACCACTACTTACAAAAGGCTTACTTTAGTTCCTTGGCTACTTAGTTTAAATGGCCTCATTTATATGAGTACGAGTAATTTTTAAAAGTATGGTACTGGGACACCTGGGTGGCTCAGTCAGTTGAGCGTACGACTCTTGGTTCAGGTTGTGATCTCAGGTTGTGGGATCAAGCCCTGGGCTCCACGCTTATCGTGGAGTCTGCTTGGAGTTCTCTGTCTTCCTCTACCTCTACCCCTCCCCCCACTCACATTCTCTCTCTCTCTCTAAAAGAAATAAAATCTTTAAAAAGTATATTAAAAAATAAATAAAATCATGGTACTAAGTGTGGTGGGAAACTTGATCTCTAGATTCTAATGCATTCAGAACACAGGAATCACAGTTCAATTATTTTGCACTCGGAAGCTGCTCGACTCCAGTGCCACATGTCTTCCAAAACATCCTACCTTGATGTCTACAAAATTCTCTGGGCAGTACTTTTCAATTTCTGCTTCAAAGAGGACAAGGGGATTGCAGCTCTGCCTAGAAGAGAAATGAAAACACAACATATCCAACCTCAGCACAGGATGCAAAGTCCCCCATTTTAATGAGAAAAAATTGCTCCAGTGTGCTCACAGGTGGATCCCCAACAGAAAAAGTCCCACATGAAAACGCCAGAGAATTAAAAGCAAGGCTATGACCCTCTGTACAAAGCACTTCCTACTTTCTGTGACAACAGGAGTGGCCAAGAAGAAATTCTGGAACTCTTTCATGCATGTCTGCAACAGGATAAATGTAATCCAAGGACTATGTGAAATAGGTCTAGCTATTTTAAGGGAAATACACTTCAGAGTGGTTGTTCATTCTAAACATATGGCAGAAATTCACAATGGTTGAGTTGATCTTAGGTCACTGCTGTGGTCTCTATGGTTTTCATCCCCTCAAAATGCACATGTTGGAATCCTAACACCAGTGTGATGGTGTTAGCAGGGAGAGACTCACAGGTGACTGTGTCACAAGGGTGGTGGTACCTCATGAATGGGATTAGTGCTCTTATAAAAGAGGCCCCAAGAGCTCCCTAAGTCCTGCCACAAGATGAGGACACAAGATGAGGTCAGCAGAGTACGATGGGGAAGAGAGCTCTTCACCTGACTGTGTTGGCACCCTGGCTCCACTTCCAGCAGCCAGAACTGGGAGAAATAGATTTCTGTCGTTTATGAGCCCCTCGAGTTGATGACATTTTGTTAAAGCAGCCCGAATGGACTGAGACAGTATTGTAAGCTCTACAGTGAGATCAACATGCCTCAAAATTCCTGTAGCATTTCACAACTTACTGTAATAATCAGAAAGTTCTTCCCCCAGGAATTGTACTGACCATTTGCGAAACTGCATCTGGAAATCATGGGCCAGCAAGTGTCCAGAAACTGAAGTCATTATCATGGTAACATTCTGAATGATAACAAAATTCACATTAGTCTTCTAGAAATTATATTTTGCCAGATCATCCAAATAAAAGGGAGAAACTTCTATTAAGGAAAAAAAAAGGGGGTTGCCAGGGGCTTGGGGCGAGGTGGGGTGGAATGAACAGATGGAACACAGAGGACTTTAGGGGCAGTGGGAATACTCCACATGGTGTTAGAAGGATGAATACATGTTATACTTTTGTCCAAACCCGTAGAACATACAATACCAAGAGGTAACCCTAATGTAAAGTATGGACTTTGGCTGCTTATGATGTGCCAGTGTAGGTTCGACTATACAAATATATCACTCTGGTGAGTGATGTTGATCATGGGGTGGGGGTGGGGGTGGGCGGTGTGTATATGTGTGTGTGGGGGGGCAGGGGTTCTATAGGAAATCTCTCTACCACCCTCTCAATTTTGCTCTAAAAATCTGAAAAGGCTCTAAAAAAAAAGTCTGTAAAAAAATAAAACTAAACCTAGTTGATCAGGAAGAAATGAACATAAATATGTCTCCTTAAAGCCAAATGCCAGAGTAATACAATCACCATTCTGATTCTAGCACCATGATGCCTTTGATGGGATTTAAAGTTTCCTCAAACTCCTATGTATTAGCTCCTTTCTTGTTATAAAGAGATGGGACCACATTTAATTAAAAAGTGACTTCCTTATAAATTATAAAATGGTTGCCTGTCATCAGGGATCTTTAGGTCTTAACAATCGTTATTCTTAAAAGATTGTGACTTATTCTACAGTGGACAGGCTCATTCTTCTCGATCGAATGACTCAAGATACAAGGAATTTAGGGACGACCTGTAGTAAACAGCTGCTCTTTTTATAGCCATAACGAAAAACTCCAGGAACGTACCCCAAAATGGCACAGGGATCTAAAAGCCACCTACCTGGCCATATAGATGATAATCAAATTCATAGACCTTGTTGAATTTTGAAAATCCTTCCCTCTATAATAAAACAAAAATACAATAGATCAATTACGTTGAAAACAAAGGATTCCTCAGCCTAAAGATGAAGCAGGACCCTGGCAAGCGATAATATTGAAAAGTAACAGTATTTCCTAAAGACAAAAACTAGGCTATATTACTAAGACCATTTATCAAATGCCTCCTTGAAATAGTTACAAGCACACAATTGGTAGAGTCCATGGAGTTTTTACGCTGGAAGGTAACCCTGAGGTCAGCTAATATAACATCTTTTCATGGATGAGAATGGATGTGTCCAAGGTCACATCACAAATTAAAGGCAGAAGAACGGTTAGGACATAACTCTCCTGACAATCTTCTCCTTCTTCCCCATATGCTTTTACTACTCTCTGGCTGTACAATTGTACCTGTCAACTGTGAACACAGGCGAGTTGTTCACTTTTCTGAACATCAATTTATTTTTGAATAAATTTACCTCTGGGGTCTCCTGTGGCTCTAAAACCCAGTAACACTATGAGCCCCAGTCAGAACTGGAAGCCCGTCTATAAGGAATTCTTCAGCTTGTCATCGTGGATGAATAAGACCCTCTCTGAGTAGATCCCACTTTTCTCCACAGGGACATTAAAAGTAGTTACACACGTGAGTTTTGCACCAACACGACACAGAAGACAAGAAAATGGCCAACTGGGAACTGGAGAAATGTTCAAGTGCCGAGAGAAGGGTCAGTGTCGAGAAGAGTCTTCCTCCGTCTCACAAAGACAATTTTTCTGAGTGGAATGGTAAATGAGTTTCTCTTTGAGGCATATGGATGATTTTTTTTTTTAAAGATTTTATCTGAGAGAGAACAAATGAGCAGGGGAAGGGGCACAGGGAGAGAGAATCCTCAAGCAGACTCCCCACTGAGCACAGAGCCAGACACAGGGTTCGATCCGAGGACCCCGAGATCACCATCTGAGCCGAAGGCAGATGCCCAACTGACTGAGCCACCCAGGCGCCCCCATAACGACAAATTTTAAGAGGGATTTTATTTTAGTATCTGATACTTAAGAGTTTACTGGTTGCCAATATCACCAAGAAAAGAAATTCCTCCGTACAAACTCCAATTGCTAGTTAAGCCCTTCTAGTAATAGAGTAGAAATTGTCTAATCAGTAGTTTCTGACTTTTTTTCATGAGCAGTGTCACAACTTTTTTTTCGAGAAAATGGTTTCTGACTTTTTAAGAAAGCTCTGAAGCCTTCCCAAACAAACACTAATATGGACCCCGATATATAACAAGGTTGAAGTCGGCTTACTCAACCTCTCCCCAGCCCAGCCCCAAGTGACTCCTGAGGTGCACATCCACTGTCCCTTGGGTCTCTTGGGAACGCAGTCTGAAAACCACTGTTTCAGATATACTTTTCAAGAAAAATAACTTGTCCGATAACATGGCGTGTGACCCCACAACAGGGCTCTTCCAGGTGGTCTCCTCTGCCAGTGGTAGCCTCGAGGATGTGAAATGTTTTTCCTGACATTTCAAACTTGCCCCCCTACAAGTCCCATCTAAGGATGGCGCACAATTTTGTATGATTCCCCATTTGCGTGAGGTGCTCAGGGAAAGTGGATGCTCCCAAATTACAGTAGTTCTGGAGTCTGGAGAAAGAAAAACAAAAACAAAAGCAACCTGGTAGACCAAGAATGAAACTTTCGTGATCCCTTCTGCAGTGTTGTCCACTCTATTAAAAACAAAACAAGCTCCTTCTCTAAGCACTCTGTAGGGACTTTCACACTGCTGTCACTAAATGTACAGCAGGATTCATTAAGATTTCTTTCCGAAGGTAAAAAATAAAACCATGAAAAGACTGTACACACGTAGAAGGTTGTAGTTTTCAATGTGCTTCTGAATGCCACTGTAAATGGAACTGTTTTCTTAATTTTCTTTCCGATTGTTCACTGCTACTAATTTGTGTGCGTTGATCTTGTATCCTGCAACTTTGCCGAATTTATTAGCACCAATGGTCTTTTGTGACCTCTTTAGGATTTCTATTCTATAAGATCATGTTGTCTGCAAACAGACATTTTTTTTTAAAGATTTTATTTATTTGAGAGAGAGAGCGAGCACATGAGAAGGGAGGAGGGGCAGTGGGGAAGGGACAAGCAGACTCCCCGCGGAGCAGAGAGCCGATGTGGGACACCATGCCAGGACCGTGGCGTCATGACCTGGGCTGAAGGCAGATGCTTAACCGACTGAGCCACCCAGGCGTCCTGCAGGTGGACGTATTTTTAATTCTTCTTTCCAATTTAGATGTATTTTTCTTGCCTAACTGCTTTAGCTAGAACTTCTAGTAATTTGGGATAGCAATGGGGAAAACAGGCAATCTTGTCTCATTCCTGATCTCAGAGGAAAAGCTTTCAGTCTTTCATCCTCCAGCTAAGGTTAGTAATGGGATTTTCAAAAAATGCTTTTTATCATGAAGGGGATTAAATTTTTATCAATTTCGTTTTCTGCATCAATTGAGGTAAACAATGTAGGTTTTAGGTGGGGGATTACTGGGGTCATATCTGTGTTTTATAAAGTCACTTTGGCAATGGAGAATTTCAGGAGTGAAAGGCCAGGGAGAAAGCGACCAGAGTTTTCCATGTGAGGGGTCAGAGGCCTGCACTCTACAACACATTAGCTCTTGCTCCCACTATCCAGGAGCTAGAAATGGAGGTCTAAGGACCTTGGGAACCTTTAAAGAAAAAAGGGCAGAGAACTTCTTCCCCATACTCTTAGAAATGGCCTCCAGAAAACCATTTCACGATCCACTTCAATTTGACAGATTTTCCTGAACAGTTCTTGCTGCCTCCGTGCCAACTCTTATACAAAATCTTTTACCTTCCCTTCCTTTGCACCTCCAGCGTGTCTAGGACACATTCTCATCCCTTACTTGCCTGTTTTTTGGAGTTTGTACCAATAGGAATAGGGCTGATGTTCGCTCTAATCCCAAACCCTAGGCAGTACTGCCCCACCAATATGCGTTCACAGACTGCGAGGTCAGTGCGGCTGCAGAACGCAGGGGATGCGACAGAGATGCGGAGAGCTAGTCAGCTGGGAACGCTCGGACAGAGCCTGACTGCCAAGTCAAAGGACTCTGGTTAGTGGTTCCCAACAAATGAGTTTTCGAATCACAGGGGCTAATGTTAAAAGACAGACTTCTCTGATCTCACCCCAGACCCACAGAATAGCCGGTGCCCCAGCTGGTTCCGATCATCAGACACGTTTGGGGACCGCTGCTGTGGACGAGGAGGAGCCAAGGTTTTCAAGTACACGGGTGAAACGTCTGACTATACTTTTGCATGCCTATCTTTCGGAAAAGACAGGAAGCCAATGCAATGACCCAGAAGCGAGAGAAGTGGCCTCCGTGCGTGCTCCCAGCGCGCGCCTCGCCGTCCCGCTGGGTGATCGGGACGGCTCCCTCACCCGCACAGCTGATCGGAAATACGCCTCCTTACCCGCCTCATGCGACCGTTGGACAGCAGGTCGGCGATCCCCTTGGCCGCGTCGTTTTTCTCGGCCACACAGAGAATTTTCCGCACGCCTCGGAAGGCCACCTCCATGGCAGCGCGGGACAGGGTCCGGGCTCCCGGCCGTTTCAGCCAGCGGAGCGCGCAGCGGGCGACCGGGAAGATCATCCCTAGGCCCCGCGCCCGCAGCCGCCCCCCGGGTGCCCACGCATGCTGGAGAAGCCAGAGGTGACGTCCACCTGGCCCCGTCCTAGGGGAACTGGGGCCTCCGGGAGCCGCCAGCGCCACCTCCCGCGGCCCGTCACCTCCCCTCAGCCCGCGGGGCTTTGCACCCGCTGCCTCTGCCGGGAATCCCGCACCGCAAGCGTCCCGCTTCCGCCCGCCTTCTCGGGCTACATCCGCCCCGCGCGAGCGCCACAGGCCCGCGAACTACAACTCCCAGACGGCCCCGCGCTCCTGGACCCCTAGCACATTTCCGCTCCTCCGCCCGACTTCCTTCGCTTCCCGACAGCGGTTTGTAAGTCGATTCGTCCTTGGGAGAGGCCGCCGGGCAGTTCTGCCCAAACCCGTCGCTAGCTCGCAATTTTTCTGTCCCGCTCGGAAGTCTATGCGGACGCTTCCGGGTCACGCGGCTCAGACCCCACGAGTCATGTGACACCAAGATGGCGGCGCCGCGGTAGCTGGCCCCGGGTTGTGGCGTCCGCGGAGCCGCGACGGTTTCTGTCCTCGGGCCGTGGGGGCGGCAACGCTTGACTGGCCCCTGCGGCGGCCCGTCGCCCCGCGTTAGGCACCGGTTCAGGGCTCGGCTGTTGCTGTCGCGGTGGGTTCGGGGGAGTGCCGGTGACCTCGCTGCAGGTGTCCTGCGCCGGACGCTCTCGCCGGAGGAGGAGGAGGAGGAGGAGGAGGGCAACCGGCCTACCGGGTCTCCTGGACCTGCGGAGTCCATGGGCTTCTGAGGGCTCTGGAGGAGCTCTACCTCTGAGGGGACTGAGGGAGTTCCAGTCTTCGACAGTGTGAGGGGCAGCCTAGTACCCCTGAGGGCGCAGAGAAGGCCGCAGGGACTTTGCTTCCTCTTCCTGAGGCCTTGCTTCCCTGCGTTGATTACCCCCTCATTCTTTCTCCCTTCCTCTCAATGTTCTCTCCGTATATCTAAAAATATGATCAGCGCCCCTGACGTGGTGGCCTTCACCAAAGAGGAGGAGTACGAGGAGGAGCCTTACAATGAGCCCGCCTTGCCCGAGGAGTACTCGGTGCCACTCTTCCCCTTCGCCAGCCAGGGAGCCAACCCATGGTCCAAACTGTCCGGGGCCAAGTTCTCGCGGGACTTCATCCTTATTTCCGAGTTCTCCGAGCAGGTGGGACCCCAACCCTTGCTGACCATCCCCAATGACACCAAAGTTTTTGGTACTTTCGATCTCAATTACTTCTCCTTGCGGATCATGTCTGTGGATTACCAGGCCTCCTTTGTGGGCCATCCCCCTGGTTCTGCCTACCCCAAGCTGAACTTTGTGGAGGACTCCAAGGTGGTGCTGGGAGACTCCAAGGAGGGAGCCTTTGCGTATGTGCACCACCTTACCCTGTACGACCTGGAGGCCCGGGGCTTTGTGAGGCCCTTTTGCATGGCTTATATCTCAGCGGACCAGCACAAAATCATGCAGCAGTTTCAGGAGCTCTCAGCTGAATTTTCCAAAGCTTCCGAGTGCCTGAAGACAGGCAACAGGAAAGCATTTGCGGGAGAACTTGAAAAAAAACTGAAAGACTTGGATTACACCAGGACAGTGCTGCACACGGAAACGGAGATCCAGAAGAAGGCCAATGACAAAGGCTTTTACTCATCTCAGGCAATTGAGAAAGCCAATGAATTGGCTAGTGTGGAGAAGTCCATCATTGAACATCAAGACCTGCTGAAGCAGATCCGCTCGTACCCTCATCGGAAGTTGAAGGGGTCTCCTTTGTGTTCTGGGGAGACGGAGCACACCCAGGATCAGGCCAGCCAGGCAGCCACTACCTCTAACCCTGATGAGTCTGCTGACCCAGACCTTTACACCTGCAGGCCTGCTTATACCCCGAAACTCATCAAAGCAAAGTCCACCAAGTGTTTTGACAAGAAGTTGAAGACCCTGGAAGAGCTCTGTGACACTGAGTATTTCACCCAGACCTTGGCTCAGCTCAGCCACATAGAGCACATGTTCAGAGGAGACCTGTGCTACCTCCTGACCAGCCAGATTGACAGAGCACTTCTAAAACAACAGCATATAACAAACTTCCTCTTTGAAGATTTTGTGGAGGTCGATGACAGGGTGGCAGAGAAAGAAGAGAGCGCACCCCCTAGGCCCGTTCCCGGCAGGCCGCCTTCTAGGTCTCTGGAAGAATGTCCGATTCCTCAAGTGTTAATTAGCGTTGGTTCCTACAAGTCCAGTGTGGAGTCCGTGCCGATCAAGATGGAGCAGGAACTTGGAGATGAGTACAGGGAAGCGGAGGTGACAGAAGTGAGCAGTTTTGACCCCCAGGAAAACTTGGATTTCCTGGATACGGATATGAAAGGGAGCATCAGCAGTGGCGAAAGCATCGAGGTTCTGGGCACGGAGAAGTCCACCCCTGTGCTGCCTAAGTCTGACAGCCAGGCCAGCCTCACGGTGCCATTGAGCCCCCAGGTGGTCCGGAGCAAAGCGGTCAGCCACAGGACCATCAGCGAGGACAGTATTGAAGTCCTCAGCACCTGCCCCTCGGAGGCCCTCATCCCTGACGATTTTAAGGCCAGCTACCCAAGTGCCATTAACGAAGAAGAATCGTATGCAGATGATAGTGAGGGAGCCATCCACTTCCAGGCAAGCGTCAGCCCGCCGGAGCTGGGTGAAGCAGAGGAGGGCAGCTTAGAAAATCCCCTGTCACAAATAGACTCCTCCTGCTGCATTGGGAAGGAGAGTGACAGTCTGCGGGTGCCCCTTTCCACTCCAGCCCACACCCCCTCGGAGCAGGACGGAGTAGTGAGCATCCCTCCGCAGCGCTGTATGCAGAAGGACCAGGGGTTCCGCGTGGACTTTGCCGTGGAAAATGCCAGCCCTTCCCGAGACAACAGTTCCGAAGGCTTCCCTGCTGATGAGCTGGATCCGAACCGCCTGCTGGCGAGCCGGGATGCCAGTAAGACCAGCCTGGACAACTGCTCAGACACTACCAGCAACATGAGCAGTGTAGCCTCCACCAGCTCGGACAGGACTCCCTCTTCTGCTCACCCCACCGGCCCCTCTTCCGAGAGGCATAAAAAGAGGGCTGGCCAGAACGCCTTAAAATTCATCCGTCAGTACCCCTTTGCCCACCCGGCCATCTACTCCTTGCTCAGCGGGAGGACACTTGTCGTCCTAGGGGAGGATGAGGCCATAGTGAGGAAGCTGGTGACAGCGCTGTCCATCTTTGTCCCCAGCCACAGCCGTTTCGCCAAGCCGGTGAAGCACTGGGTCTCCTCTCCTTTGCATATCATGGATTTTCAGAAGTGGAAGCTTATTGGCCTGCAGAGGTAACTGGTTACCCGCGGTGGGGAAGGGCCCTGTCCCGTTAGAGACGAGGCTTCAGACGTACATTTCTCTGGGGGAGGTGCACAGGGTCGCGAGGTGGGCCCGGAATTGGGCGACCTGGCTTCCACACTGGGCCCTCAACACTAACCAGCTTACTCTGTAACTTTTGGCAGATCATTTCCTTTCTCTGGCCTTCTGTTTCCTCGTTCCTTGCATGAGGGGTTGCCGTTCCGAGGCGGTTGCCAACCCTGGTCTGCGATCTGCCGTGTCAGAATTATTTAGGAGAGTTTTTTTAGATCATGGACTTCCGGGCCCCACCCCCCAGAAATTCTGGTTCACTTGGTCTGGAGTGAGACCTGGAGTTTATCTGGTGTCCAGCAAGGTTTGGGGAACAGCCGAACTTGGAGATCTCAGGTTCTCGCTGATTCTCAAATTCACACTATGGTGTAAAGGACTGAAGAGACATTGGCTTCTGAGAAAGGGCCGTGGTTGTCTCAGAAGGTGGCAGCCATCACTGGTGACAGGGACATCAGGGGGCGCCGGTGGCTTTCACTCCACTGTCCTATTTGCCTTAGGAGGCTGTCTTTTTTTTTTTTTTTTCCCTAGGAGTGTGTGTTCATAAGGAAACGGAAGAGCCAATTCCTCTTTTCTCTGTTTGATTGCTTTCTATCTCATTTTCCCACAATACTTGTGTTGCAGTAGACTCCTTTTCTTTTTTCCAGATACTGCTTGGCAAGTTGTTGGGCCCAAGGGTCTCTTTCCCTCGGGGTATGCACGGTGTTCAGTTTCCACGTTTCCTTCTCTGCACCCCACTTGGCCCATCTGTAAAACAGAGGTGCTGACACAGCCAGTCTGTGCTTCCCGTGCTGCACGGGAAGAGAGAACACTGCAATCAGGAACTGTTTGTTCCAATTTTCCGACTCTCCTTTTGCATCGGTCCCTAGTTATCAGTGAGGTCCCTGCCACCCGAGTTGCCTGGCGTTTGCCCCTCTTGCAGAAGCCACCCGGCCCTCGCTCTGACCCTTGCTGCGTGTTCAAACTAAACAGTAAATTAAAAGGATAAAAAAGCTTTCCCCGGGGTTGTGGTGGTGGCATTTAATAAGCAAGCGGCACCTCCACGGCCCGCCTCGGCTCACTGGCCATGCTGGTGGGGTGCTGGGGTGCCGTCTGCAGGTACCTGGGCAAGGCCACTGCCCTGGAAGAATTCATAGCTGAGGAGGGGAGACAGGTGCCAGAGAGGAGAGTGCCAACAGCGGGTGCGTCGCGCGTTCTAAGAAAACAAAGGGGGGCGACTGAGTGACGGGTGGGAAGCGAGGGAGAGGGGCGCCTGGGGAAGGCTTGGGGTCTTTCGCTGGAGGCACCAGGAGGGCGAGCTTGCCAGTGTGGGGGAAGAGTGATGACATGGGGACTTGGTGTGACGTGGCCCAGACCCCTGGGCCAGCCCCTTCCCCGGGCCGCACAGGAGACCACCGAGCGGGGTCCTCGCTTATGGGTGCAGAACCAGGCTCAGGAGTGAGAGGCTGCACTGGGCGCCCTTGCGGACTTTGTCCCTCCTCCCAGGATCCGGTCCCTCTGCTGCTGCCAGCTCTGTGCTCGGGTGTAACCCGTCTGTCCCAGCAAGGCAAGGGCTGTTCAGGGATTGCTTTTGCCCCTGATCTTGGTGGAAGAACGGGTCCGTGCCCCTTGCAGACACATACCTCTTCTCCGAGTCACTCCCCTCGCTCCAACCCTTGACCTTTTTCCCTTTTCCTCCCCCAGAGATGGAGAATGTAAAACGCCCCTGGGTCTGTTGTCAGCTGGCTTATCCAGGACCTGGCTCAGGACAGTCTTGCCCTTCCCAGAGGGCTTTCCCCAAAATTCCC